GAGGCTGGTGACGTTTATTTATCAGAGTAATTAAGTGATCCGGCCTATCGCAATCTTAAGCTGAAGTAAGTTAGAGAATTAGGTCTGAGTCAATACAACAATTAACCACTCGGCAATTCAGCATCATTTAATTAGCTAAATATGTGAAAGCTAGGTACTTTACTTATATATAAATCGCAGCCAGATGCTAGATTACGTACATTTTGGGATAAAACTTGTAGACATTATTATACAGTGCAAGACTCCAACAAGCTTTGAAAAGGTTATACTGTTTTCCATAGACAGGAAAATAAAAAAAATAAAAAAAGAAAGAGACTAGGATTAGGCAAAAGAGGATTATGTAGGATCCGAATAATATGCTTTTTTAAAAGGAGAAAACATTGACGGTTGCCTTTAACAAGAGTTTACTACCCAGATGCATGAATGCGAAATAAAATTATTCCTGGTTCTCAATCCTTGACATCAAAAAAGTTATTGCATGGCTAAAGTTATGTTGGGAAGAACAGTGAAAGGAGGGTACTAAATAATGGGAGCTGTTTCTCTAAGATACCATGCGACCGGGATGGGTAGAACTCTATAGGTCAGGCGTTGCTAGAAACGTTTGCTTATAAGATAAGGCGGCGAGAACGATGGAAAACGCCCCTTTTTTGTATGCATTCCAAGTCATCTATTGCTTATTGAGGCGACAAGGTTTGAAAAACTGGAACAACATATTCATTAGTTTACCTTATCCAGCTGGTGTTGAACCTTACTAGGTAGGCCCTAAGACATTGGTGCATATTGTTTACCCGGAGAAATACGGTTGAGTAGAACTTTTTTTACCGCCATCCGAGAATGGAAGCTGGTAGTATTGTCTCCGAGTAACTTAGGGTGACTCACAGCTTATGGCATTCTCCAATCTCGTGGTGTGGTTTAATAGTTCTTAGTGAAATATATCTGTATTAATGATCCTTCAAATATCTCTGCTGGCGCTCAATTGGCTCAAACGCAACACGCGACCGAATATCCCCTAGCTGAAAGTGGGTGACATTCTCGGATATCACTCAAGCGATATTCCCCAATTTTCAAAGCTTACGTCCACTGCGATAAGTCTTCGTTTCAAAATTAATTCTAGATGAGAGAGGGTTTGTGTTTGATGCAGAAGAAGGGAAATCTTTTTTTGTTGATTAAGTCGTACTTGAGAACACCCAATAGAAAAAAAAATAAAACATCCTGCAGTAAGCAGGGAAAATATGTACGGATATCGGGAGCTGTCCGCGGACATTACCTGTTCCAAGATGCAAACAATTTTCGAGAGCGAAGCTCTAAGAAAATTGTTTGCCGAATAGCCAAATCAAGTAGAGGCTATTGGTTATACATACAGATATACCTTTGTCAAGGCAAAGCTGGAAATTTTTCTTCTAAATTCAGTTCCTTTCGGAGCAACCTCTGATACCGTTGTATTTTGGATATATTTCCATAAGAAAGCATCATGAGGAGCTAAATCGGTAAACATAAGCAAGAGCCCCAATTTGGTGCTCTGAGGAAAGCCCGGACAGGAAAGGCCCCTTGACAGAAACCAGCTGCCACGAGTTTAACTCTGTGGAAAAGGTTAGATAGTGCATCTGTTATTCAGTTGAGAAGACTAACTGGCGATTCTAAGGGTCTTCACTTACGAAATAAAATGGTTTGGTTCGCACAACAAACCAAACTCAATTTATAAGTAGAGTTCATGGTCGAAACAGGAGGGAAACAGCCACAAGAAAACAACTTTTACCCTTGAAATAGCTTTTTAGTAAGTAGTTTTTACCATAACCAGTTCGAATTGAGCTTATAAAAATAATGTTTTGGAAAATAGAATCGAGGGGTTGTGCTATTCGGGAAAGGTAATGGCCCCAATGAAGCAATATGGATCAAAATTTGTTGCAGTGGCTATAACAGTGACACAGACGGTGACGGTGACAGTGCTGTAATACTTATAATAATACTTTATTAATATAGCGCTATTTCTATGACTATCCAATAGCACTTTACAATGACTGAAATCAACTTAAGTGCTTGAAAAACCCAACTGGCTTGTGGCAGATCAGTTAGCCATTTACACGGCGCAGCCAAGGAGTTTATCTCGGAGCGACCGAGGATTGGTTAGGTCCCGATCCATCCGTAAAATTAGGTCCTTGAGCATGTTCCTTTCGCATTATTCACTTCATAAACGAAGCATGGTTTCCACAGTTGTGGACTTCTCTAGAACACTGAACACTAAGCAGAGTCGTAGTCTTTAGTGAGGTTCCCCCTGTCAGGGATTTTGTCAGGATGGGTGGATTTTTGTTTTCTTTGTTTTTTGGTATTTTGCTTTTTTTCTTAAAAAAGGTATCTTGAAAAAGGAAATAGTAATAAAAAATCCTTTAATAAAAATAGAAAAAAAGAAAGACATTTCCCTTCCAATCAAAAACATTTAGAAATGAAGTGAGAGTTTTGAAACCCAACTGATGTGGAACTTTTTTGATAACTCAAAAAACTTCTTTCCCTACTGAAAACGGTATTCTTCTTACTAGGATAAACGAGGTGCACTGAATACGTCACAAACGAGACAAGCCAGTCGTTACACTTTCCTTTTTATTGAAATCAATTCGATTCAAATAAATTCTGCAATAAGAAACAAATGTTGTTTTTTCCTCCAGATTAGATGATCCTTTTCAAGCCTGTGAGATAAAGATCCTATGCGTTAAACAATAATTTCGTTTAGAGTAATTACCACCGCTTTAAAAGCTTTATTTTCCAAAAGGAAACGATTCTGAATTTTTAGTGAGGTAACGCCAGTTTAAAGTGAATTTGTTTTTCCTTTCGAGTCTGTATCTGACAATTGTTTAGAGTTAACAAAAGAAGTAATGATATGTTTTTTCTCTAAACGCAGTTCAATAGTAGTGGCAATGCACAACTAATTGTTGATGGGAAAGTCGGCAAAGCATATGAAGCACCGTTAATAATTTTGATCAGAAGTATAAGTAAATTATGGAACGAAAATTTCTACCTAAGCAATAACCCATTGAAGACGACATTGGAACGAAACAAGGGCTGAAAATCCCATGGAATTTAGCTAGAACGAATGGCCTATTCTTCAGAAATATATGGGGCCTCTAGCTAGATAAGCTAGATTTTAAGACCTTTAGGTTAGAAAAACCGAAATGAGACATTTGTCATCGAATCAGGTCTATAAGTAAGGCGAAGGAAAACAATAGAATTTGTAACTGCTTTCATGGCGATGTTGTGTGTTTAATACTTGTTCTTTGTACATTATATGTATAAGAGGTGTAATGGTCAAAAACGCTCGCGCCAACAACACAACAAATAAGCATTTCCGAACCTGTCGATTGAGAAATTCTTAGGAGAGCATTACTTGCATATTTGGAAGACAAAACCATCAAATCCGTCGTGAAGCAATAACATTATCAAGTTATAACTCACGCTACAAAACTGCAACGGCAAAGATTTTAAAGACACTCCATTTGGTCCATGGGGTCTTCGTACGTACAGTAATGATCTTTGACCTAAAGAAACCCAAATTGCAAATTTGAGGTTTTTAATCATCTCCCTCCACTTTTATGAGATAAAATAAATTTTCTATAAAAAGGACCATTCTTAAGAATTCATGTGAATGTTTTTGTTATTTGTCAATACAGAAAGAAACACAGCTGCACACAAACATCTGTTGACGACTGTAGCAAATGACTGGGAGGAATGCCAAAGTAGATTTTGGAAAGAATAAAGTAAACTCTTCGTTAATTCTTAAAGGTAATCCTGTCTGCTAGTCCTGCGAAAGACACTTGTCCTATGGTATCGCATCTCGCGTCAAGAACACGTATAAGCCCGTCTTTCAAGCGGTGTTGTTGCTATTGTTGTTGTTATTTGTTTTTCAATTCGGACACAATTTACATTGAGTGTTGCAATTGATATGGGGCTCGATATGTGGGTTGCCTATCTTATGATGTGATCGACTTTTGCAACACGCCGGCATTTAAATTTCTCGTCGTCTATTCTTCTGCCACGCAGGATAAAGATGTCTAGGATGAATGCACACGTAACCACATATTCAGACTCAAGTTAATAGTTTCCCATCTTTGTACTTTTGTGTTTGTTTTTGTATTTTTTTTGCAGGTATTTCTTATGATATCTAGTTGATGGTGCTGATTTCACCATCAATGTCATCGTCACCGTCACCGTCACCGTCACCGTCACCGTCACCGTCACCGTCACCGTCACCGTCACCGTCACGTCCGTCACCGTCACCGTCACCGTCACCGTCACCGTCACCGTCACCGTCACCGTCACCGTCACCGTCACCGTCACCGTCACCGTCACCGTCACCGTCACCGTCACCGTCACCGTCACCGTCACCGTCACCGTCACCGTCACCGTCACCGTCACCGTCACCGTCCCCGTCCCCGTCACCGTCACCGTCGCCGTCGCCGTCACCGTCGCCGTCACCGTCACCGTCACCGTCACCGTCACCGTCACCGTCACCATCACCGTCACTGTCACCGTCGCCGTCACTGTCACCTTTACCGTCACCGTCGCCATCACCGTCACCGTCATTGTAAATGTCATTGTAACTGTCACTTTCTATTACTGTTAATTTCACTGTCATTGTCACTGTCATTGTCTGTCCCTGTCTTCGTCACTGTCATTATTATTGTCTTTGTCACTGCCACTGCCACTGTCACTGTTACTATCACTGTCTGTCCTGTCACTTTCAATGTCGCAGTCACTGTCCCTATCTGTCACTTTCCCTCTCTGTCACTGTAACCGTCACTGTCTGTCCTGTCACTGTCACTGCCTGTCACTGTGACTATCCCTGTCTGTAACTGTCACTGTCGTTGTTGCTCTCCCTGTCACTGTTAGTCTCTGATCAATATCATTATCTTTCATCTTTGCAAACTAAAGTATATCCGAAATCTTAGCATCCTTAGAAATAGCGTAAGGAAAGTACGCTCAACGTGAAGATGTTTATAAAAAAATTTATTCTCCAGTGAAATATGATACTTCGATCTAATCTTTTTCAACCTATTATGAAGGCAGTTGATCCAAAACAACTACGTCTGGATTTAGCCGTAGAAAAGAACCTTGGGATACGTTGAACCACCACAAATGATTTTTAAAATTCTCACAACTGACTGATGATTTAAAGGTATAGTTTACCTACATGTTTATTTAAATTACCTACTCTAAGTTTACTAAATGATAACCAACGCACAAAAATGGCAAATGAATCCCTATTTATGAAGGAAAAGTTACGTAGTTTTAATGGCGAAGTAATTAAACTTAAATACATACGACTAGCTACTAATTTGTACAAATTGCTATATCTACTTTTTTCGAAAAATGGTCTCTGCGACCTTACACTATATTATCACCAAGCAGCTTTCGCAAAATTTTATCAAATTATGTTGGAGCATATTGCAACTTTCTGACATTTCAAATGGACGTCAAGCAAGTCAATGGAGCCGGGGTGACGGTTTTTTTGATCCCATTTTCTCATTTTTCCTCGGGAAGTTTGATAGGTTCTAAGATCTTAGCAGCTGTGGAAATAGCTACTGAAACTATAGAAAGTTGCTCCCGAATCTTTGTGGTATCATTAGTTTTTTTGGCTTCCTGAAACGCTCCAAAAACGCCTATAAAAGTGTCCTTGAAAAGAACATTCAGGTAAATATGAGGGTTTGTGGTAATAAGTCTGGAATCTATAAAGGGTTTTCCAACTTGGCTCAACTGGTTGTTTAACAATCGGACTGTGAGAGGATTCACGTTTTTTCCACGACTAACTTCACTGACAAAGTTCGTAAACGATTTGCATGATCTTGAGAAGTTCGATATGGATCTGTTTACAGCTGAAATGCTGTCACTTACCGCTTTTTCCCACATAAACGACGATTGTAAGGCCGTAAGTCTATTAAACGCTCGATGAAGAGTATTTGTGAGTCGTGATAAATTGAAAGGGATGATCTGAGAGTCTGATAAATCCAACAACATGCCACCCATGAGTAGAGTCATGGCGCGGTGAATCTCAAACTCAGGATCAGCAAATTTCTTCACCCAGTAAAAATTGTCTTCCTGAGTATGATAAGATGGATAAAGCTGCCAACCACCCTTATTCTCATCATAGCCAAAGAAATAACTAAAATCTGCGGATGGTATACCCGCCATGAAGAAGAACGGTATGTAATCGCTCGCAAACTGGAAAGCCCAAAGTTTTGGCTCATGCGGGTTTGAAGGCGTTGGCCCACGCTCCAACATTACATCGTATATGGACTTATAAGTACCCTTTTCAAATGGCACCTCAACCATTTTTGTCCATTTGTATATAATGTCGCTTAGCAGTGGGCTAGATTGAGCCAAAAGAACATAATTTCCTTGCACTGGAACATCAGTGTTCAAGTAAGCCACACCTCGCTCCTTAAAGATCAAAGAGTTTTCCTCCATCCATTCAACAGAACCTATCAGGCCAAATTCCTCTCCACCGAAGCTGCACAGTTTTATTGTTCTCCTTGGTCTCCAACCGCCCTTCATAAGTTTTCCCAATACTCTGCTTGTTTCCTTCAGAACTGCCATCCCCGTGGTTGCATCCGCAGCGCCATATACCCATGCATCTCGGTGGTTTCCTAAGAAAACGTACCGATCTGGTTCCTGCCAGCCGTTAATAGTGCCGATCACGTTATAAATCGTCTTTTGAACCAGCTGATTGTTGATGGTCAGTTTTATGGTTCTGTTACCTCCTCGAGAGCCTCGGGGGTTAAGTTGTAACGTGAGGTTGAGCTCTCTAAGCCATTCTGGGGGTATATCATCCACTAGTAGAGGAAGATAAATATTTGGTTTATCGCGGGTTACAATAAGAGACTAAAGGAGTCAAAAAATTTAATGTAAAGCATAGAAAAAAATGCTTACGTTCTGCAGTTGACCTCAGTAACTTCAAGCCTGTAAGCCTACCTTACGAGTATTACACCTTGCTGAGGTTTTCACCGTTTCATTCATGCATGATTATTAAATATATTACTCACTTAACGGTATAAAACAAAGCTACTGAAAGTTTCTATCGAAGGTAGAGCACCTTTCACCATCCATTGTCCAACAAAGCTGTAGCACATAATACCGATCGTTCGCGCTTTTCATATCTGTGCACCATTGATCTGGGACAAGTCAATCATGTCATGTTCATCCTTACCTCCAACTTCCTCCAATAGAGACCGTGCTGTCCCATACGATATTGGTTGTAAAAGTATGGGCAATCCAACGTGCCAGTCCTTCTTTGATTTCTGGAAGATGCCCTCTTTGGCAGGGACTCCCTTCGACAAGGGGTCGCCAAGCTCACCATAGACTCCACCCAAGGGAACTGCTTCAGAGGAAAGCCACGGTGCATTGGGGTAAGTGGAATTTTTTCCTATGCCATTTGGGGCGTAGATGTTAGGGTCTGGGTACATAAGGATCCCTTTAGCACCTTTATTGACGGCTAATTGAGACTAATGAGAAAACAAGAAAATACATAGGTAAGTAAACAGTTCTATTTCTTATTGCAAGTGGAAAAAAAGAGTGGGACAATCTTGCCTAATTAGAAATTGGCTCAAAGAGAATCAAGACGCTAAAACGTAGAAGACTTGAAGGAAATACATTTTAACAAGTGCAATATCTCCCAATAACATGGAACCTTTGACCTTAGCATCTGGAAATAAAATCAACATTTAATTGAATGAAAATTCTGTCGGACTACGAAAACCAGGACTAGGGCTAACACAGAATAGAAAGTCACAGCAACGTGCAGTCTTTGTACAATAGCGCTAATCGCATCTCGCATGAGTCATCCTGAATTATATATAAATTGCATATGTAGTCAGAAAGAGGAAAACTTCACAGACCAAGGTAAAGAAACTCCAAAAGTCTCGTGTCAACAGAATGGTGCCATTCAGAGATATATTAAGTTTCTCCAACTTTTGCAAATCCTTCGCAGTTCCCTGATTGACGTACACCAGTCTCCCTTCAGCAGTCCCATTGTTGGAATATGCAGTGTATGGAGTAAACAAACTTGTGGCCTTGATCCCTGGGCCAGGTGAGACCTATTTCACAGAAAACGAAATGTCATGCTGGTGAACATTCGAGAGAATGCCTTTTTTTAAGTGGCAGAGAGACACTTGAAGCAAAAGATTTTGGAAAGAGAGAAATGTAACCTTTAACTGCTCTTTAAACCTTTTGACCAATGTTCCGTCTTCAGACACAACTGAGATGGTGTTGGGGTTGTTATCCTCTGGATAAGACAGTAACACTTTGTATTTCGGGAGTTCGACTTTGTCAAATCCATATTCTCGCCATTTTTCAGCCAATTTATATGCCAGTTGTTGTTGTCTCTCCCCGCCAGCCATATGAGGGACCTGGGAATAGAACCTGTGGGCCAATAGAATCCAAGGTAAGATTCATCTTGTAATGAATTAAAGATATGATTAGTGCATCCTTGCGAAGGAATTCCTTGAATTTTTCATGAAGACTACGCCTTACATTAATAGGATTTTTAATCCGTCTGTCTTAGTTCGTAAAAAAAAAAGTTTTATATAAGTAGAAATATTATCTCAGCATCTTTTTATTTTGGTAGTCAACTGATAACCATGGACAAGACCAGAATTTCGTGATCAAACAAGAACTCTGCTCTCTATTTGACCAGCGGAAGGTCAAGGTGAACGTCAGTCTAATATTTTGGCTAAATACAAAGAAAGCGAGATGTTAATCACTTTCAAACTATGTTATTTCGACAAAGAAATACAAAGTGCTTCTAGAAAACCAAGAGGTGCATGTCTAGTACACCGACTAGTTCACGCTTGATTCAGCAAAGGTGGCAATAAGATTCTCCAAACAACGCGTCGACTGTGTGTCGAGAAAAATATCTAATAGTGAGGTTTCCAAAGTTCTTGCAGCTCTCGTGTTAAGAATATAAAATTGAAGGAGGATTCCATTACTCATGAATGATATGCCACGCTTACATTAGATCATATTTTTTTCCTGGAAAACGTTTTCCTGGACAAGTTTATTTTGGTGATACACATTGGAGATGAGTCTTAAAGAGTCTTTGTACAAGGAGACTTTTTGAGGAAATACTTGAAGAATTAAAGATGATACTGAACCTATACCACCGGAAAAGGATAATTATCGAGGAATTTCTTTGGAATTGAAAGCGAATGCTTCTCCGTCCTTTCCATTAGTATCAAAGTAGATATTTCTTCTAAGAGTGAATTTTCCAAGCGTAAATCACAAGTATTGCTGCGATTTCAGAGTCGAAGTAAAGTTATCCGAATAAACTCCACTTTCTAAAAGGTTAAATCCTCATATCATAAGGATTAGGTCAATAGAGTAAGAATGAAATCAATGTCCACAATGTTGACATCTGATATATAAAGAATCTTTTGAATCGATACGACGTAATGATCGCTAATGTCGGTAATCAAATTTTCATTCCCCCATCAATTTTGTTTTTTTTTAAATAACTCGAATACTTAGGTCGTTATTCCGTCTCTTTTCCTAAAATGGCATTAAAAAGTTTGCTTCGTGAGTCATTTGTGTGGTAAACCCGGGGCAAACCGGCAAACCTTTTGATTAATTCTTTTACCACACAGGAAGTTATTTGCGACATTGCTGATGAAAGCGGCATGCGGAGAACTTTTTCCCTTCAAACTGAATACCCTCACCATCGCGTTCTGGAAGGTTTATGACGGATCCAAAATTTATAAAGGATCCAAACTCAAACTTAAACTCGAGTTCTCTGTGGGAACATGGGTTTTTCTTTAAGTCAAACGCCCGTGGAAATGTTTGAGATCAGTCTTAATACTTGGAAGAAGTTCCTGACATATTGATGTCAAAGTCGCTTTCCTGTGTCTACGTTGTATTCTAGCAAAGGAATTTGGTTGTCGATCAGTACGTCATCAGTTATGGTAAAATAAATCTATTTGATAATTGAATCAGTTTTGAAAGTTTTGACGATGGAAGCTTCAACCCTTAACAATGTCACCATGAAAAAAAGCTATACACTTGATAAACTTCCTCAAAACTGAGAGAAAATGTTGACAATTGATGAAAGATGGTCAAAGAACTCAGAGTAATTCAGTAGCCCTGTTTCAACTTGCCCCCTCTTCCAATATCAAAACTATTTCGATCAGTTATATGGTTTTGAGATACCTACGAATTCGGTTATTTTTCGCTTTAGACTAAGATATATGAAAAGCGAGAGAGCGAGATATAAAAAACGTAGGTACTTCAGTAGGGAAAAGTAGTTACAATCTACATGAATTCTTTGCCATATTATTTTAAAGAAACTACGCTCTCGACATCACTAAATCTGGCGGTATGCAGGACACTTATTACATATGGACCTTGTATATGCCTTTGTACCAACGCGAGCATTTAGAAATCCGAAGGTCTTGGGTTTTGTTCCTCTTAGAGGGGAAATTAGTTGCCTTCTTAGTCCTGTTTTGTCTAGTGACAAAAATAAAATATATCTGTTCGACGAACGAATGAGCACAGTCGAATCAGCTTGCGGGGAATCTGTTCCATTTTTCCTATTCTAAGGTTGAGACATTAGGTAAAGATTTTAATCTAGCAGGTGAGCTACAGCTATGGAAAAGCCAGGAAAAATCTGCGTCTCTAAAATACGTTGCGCGCTTATAACTACGGTGCTACGTAGCCACAAAGTGGGAGAGAAGCAAATTTTGGCGGGTTCTTCATACCCTTAAAGAGTCTGTTCGCAGTTATATAAATTTAATCATATTTTGACCCGCGGGTGATAAATCAGCGAGGATACGATACTTTTAGGTTAGCTACAGAAGGAAAATAATGCAGAAAGGCGCATTATTACTTTTAGCATTCCATATACGGATTAACATATCCTCCATAGTTTGTGGCCGATAAGTGAAATTTAGTTAACGAATAAAACAAGCAAACTATTATCGAAGAAAATAAAACCATTGCAATTTTGTTACATTTGCGTCAAACAACAGGGACCCGAATTGAAGCCTTAATATAACATCATTGATGGTTTAGAAGTATACCTCAAGGTTTCCTCGAGCTCTGTGGTGTTTACATTCTTCTTAAAGTGGCTGAAAGCTTCATCGCCGTTGAGAGGGTTTGTCTCACTTTTGTCTTTAGTCTTTGGGCTGTCTCTCCCTTTATCACCTTTCAAAAAGTATCCAAGAAGAAAACCGCCCGATGCTGAAATGATCCCAATGAACAATACGATCAAAACAACGTGCTTCTTTCTAGGACGAGATCCTCCAAAACTAATTTCAGATGAGACTGACGCTGATAAGTGAAGTTTGGAGCTAGCCAATTCCATTTGTGAAGTGTGGTTAATGTAACACCCAAAGGCAGCTCTTCAAAAACGCGCTTGCCGAGAACGAAGGCTGATCAATTGGTTGCGGTTTACGGTGAACCTTAATTAAAGGAAGTCAGCTAACAAGAACTCTGTCATTTAAAATGAATTGCTTAATTCACAAGCTTCAGGTCATATGTTTTAAATGAAAATAATGTTCCCCTAGGCATTTATCTTGTTTCGTCAACCACTTACGTACTTGTTAACCAAACGTATCGAATAAATCCTTCCTAAGCCGCCTAGTTGTAAATAAACGTAAGTTTGAAATGTGTTTTAACGTAAAAAAAAAGTACCATACTCATGCAAACCAAAGGGCTCTTTTTCTAAGAAATTCTCTTTAGCATATCCTCTAAACAACGAGAATCAACATTTACGTATGTGGTGTGTCAAAACTGATATAATGCTTTGCAAGGAAGTGTTGACGTACGTAGCAGACATTGATCCTGATGAAAAACCTCAATTTTTTTTCTTGCTTGTGAATAGCAGTCGGCAATTGAGAAAGTAACACTTTTTTTAGGATAGCCGTAAGCAATAAATATTATCGCTTATCTGAAATCACTATTTTATCTTTTACCAACAGAGATAAAGAACGTGGAGCGAGGATATCGACTTCCTCTGAAAAATAAGAACAAAGTAAAAATTATGACGTGTAACATTATCTCGTGATTGTCAGCATGTATGTTCTAGAATCCTTTGCACTTGAATTCTCTTAATCCCAAGAATGATGTTCTTTCTGCACATCATTCACTGCATCCGAGAATGCCGAGCGAAGTACAGACTTATTCACCAAATGATAAGTTGAGGACAACTTTGGCCGCGAGTTGTAAAGTGTGGTGGTTTTTCAGGTCATTTATCGACAGAATTAAAAAGAGGTCATGGCTCGCTATGGACTTAAATCTAATTTTAAATTCCACCACTTGGATGTTAAATGTTGTTTACCCAGACGGCTTACGTAAGTTTTTCATTGCCGTGTTTGTATTACCACCCTGCCGCGTTAAACCACTTCAGATTTGTTTATGCGATACAACATTACATTGACAAATTCCGTTTACTGTGGGCAAGATAACCATGTCGAAAAGTAAATAATTCGACTCAAATGTTGCCAGCATTGTGTATGACGAACACCTCCACTCAACGAGTAATAAGTTCTATACATTACTCCTTACCATTTTCAATTGCATGGAAAAATTATTCAAGATCGCTCCCGCATTTTTGCCTAGTATTGACAAAGAGTCTACGGAAGTGAGTATAAGCCTTTTTGCGGGGTTATCTGTGTAAGAACTTCCGCCCACAAACCTATAATCAATTTCTCAATAACATCCTGTTCTTAGGGCTCGCTAAGGGAAGTCTATTCTGTTCTCACCTGGTCTGTGATTTAGAGGCTTGCACAACTGTTTTCGCTTTGACCGGAACTTTGAGGTCTACCCTTCACGCTGTCAGTCGATTGTGGGCTTACATGTGATGTTTCCTTGTTATCAAAGTGCTTTGGCTACAAACCTTAGCAGCGAACAGACAATTGCAATCGCTATCAAATTTTCTATAATCCATGCGGATTTCAATCAGTTTCACGAGGTTTAGTGAGTCTTTTATATCCCAGCAAACCGTATCTTAGATAATCTCGTACTCTACCAAAAATCTACAGTTTTGGAAATGATCCAAAATGATAGGGTTGTACTTCTGCACACCAAGAATTAATGCGATGTAAAAATGTGAGCGCGCTGGGAGTTTGATTTACAACGGAATGCGAAGTGGCTCCCTAGGCTCGTTTTTGAATAAAAACCGTGAGTTTACAGGGAGATCTATACCTGGCGAAGGCGCCAAGTTTGGTTTAAAAGAAATTTTCAGAGTAAAAACGACTTTCGTGTATAACTTCAATTTCCTGTGATGGAAAAGAATCCCAGCCGAGCCGGAGAGGTAGTACTCCAACTCATGCAGGGCGGAAAATGGGATAAGCTCCCACTGTGTGGGCTAAAGAGCCACTATAAAAAACTTTGAAATGCCCGATCACAAAAATTGAAGGTTTAGATTTAAATGCTTGAAAACGGCACCTATTTCCTTGTTGACAAACGTTAACAACGCGGACCCGTCAGAAGAACGCAAAGTATGCAAATATCAGTAACAGATGTTCGTGTGAGTTCTTGGTGCGAAGCCAAGTGTTTTAAAATGCATTAAGGGAAGACTTGACCTTTTGAACCTGTTCAATAGAGTTGATAATAAACACAGTTCACGTTGAGATAAGAACGATTATGCACGCACATAGTGATCGTGTATCTGTTTATCTAAGACAGATTGGATTTTTCTTCATTAGGTTAAATGCTTTAGTTTGATTCACAAAGCTGCGACTAAGTTCTCCTGCGTTTTGCACTTTAGTAAGTAGGAGAGGAAAAATTTGAAAAAAGACTCAAAGAAATTCTATATGGACTATATGGATTTCCTTCCAAAAAAGACGACATCAAATTGGTATTTACGCATTCGGAATTACGTCACTAACCACATTTACATGACGCAAATTTGACGAAAATCTCTTAAAATTCCAACCCGGTACTTGAGGGAAAGGATTAAGTTAAATGCAACTAAAATCGTCTCTCCGTTGTGTCTCGAGAACACATACCTGTGAATCCGCTGAGAAAAAAAATTCACGAAAAAGGATGACCAATACTGCACAAAAATTTTGTAGCAGATTTCACTTATCGGTAATTTTACGATAGGAAACATACATTTCTTGTCGTATCAGTCACTGATAAGATCTTTACACTTTCGTAATTTCACACATTCATTGAGTAGTTTCCTTTGACAGTTGCTATACTGCACTGATTTCAGTCGAGACACTGTTGCTAATTTTTTTCCTAAATCTCTCTTAAACTGTTACAGGGAAATATGCCAACTGTCCAAAAAATCTCTGTCTGTTATTCAAAGAGGAAACGACCCAATTTAAAACTGAAGTGTCGACAGTAATCCGCGATTATTTTGATTTTGCTCAACTTTTTCCTTTAATTGGTCCAGAAAACACGCACCACCTTCTCAACCAATCATAAGTTAAACTAAGTCGTAATATGGTGGAATTTAGAACAGCTAGGTGCGATGACTTTGATTTCTGATGAGCTCTTTATGCTGTTATCCTTTGTTCTAAATAATGGGCCCTCTGAGTTTCTTTGGCTTGGGCTTTAATCTTCTTTAAATGGACTTCACATAGCTTCCTTCCTATCTTTTCAAGATATCAGTGTTTTCTTTTTTGCATCGGTACATGACTTGTCTTCTTATACCCTGAATCATAGGATTGATATGTAATTCCTAAAAATTGCAGAATTTAGCTTATAACAGGCCATTTTATAGTTGTGCACTTAGTCACCAAGCCTTTGATTTGGAGTGAGGCTGAAGGTGACCTTGTTGTTATAGAGACCAGTATCTACAAAGTATCTTTAAATAAACTATTGGCCAATATCAAAGTTAAGATCACTTTCAATCCTAATTAATTATCTCCCTTTACCAGTTCTCTAAATGACTGACTCTCGACCGTTAAATACGCCGGCGAAAAAAGGGATCTTTAAAAGAATTATTCGCAAGAAATCAAACGCCTCCCTTCAAAACTTAAGACATAAAAATAAACCACAGCACATTTTTTTTTTTTTCTTTTCTTTAATCCAGAAAGTAGCCGAACTCTTACAAAATTTTTTTTGCTCGAATTCGGCTTCGAACGCCGCCACATTGAAAAAACAGTTTCAGTTGTCTGATCACACAGGTACGACGCGATAAATACACATTTACAACATCTAGATCACAAACATCAGCTGCCTTTTCCTTGGCCTTTTTTTTTTTTTCAATTAGCACGAGATTAAGTTCAATGATGTGGTTATATTGTGAGGTTCATATTATATCCCGAGTTATTGGCCGAGATGCTGAGCAAAATTGAAAAAAGGCGACGATCGTTTTCAAATTTGTTACTCTTTGAAAGCTCAAAAGTCGGTAAACTTTATGATTCAATTTCCATTTGAATGTCGAATGTTATCCAGGATTTATATGTGTTTTCCTTCATTTCACTTTGTGATTGGGCCAGAAAACCCGCGCCACTTTCTCAACCAATCAAATGCAAATCTTGCAGTAACACTGGTGTTACTGTTAAATAATGACTAGGGCATCTTACACTCTAAGTGCTACAAACATCGGACCGTGTTCTTCAATTTCATGACACGTTTTTTTTTTCCTCGTTGCTTACTGGAAACAGTAGGCCTGATGATATCAGCAGCAGATAGAACAGCTTCCTCAACCAGTGACAGCTGTTTCTTCACATCAGCGGCGTTGCCTATATTCTTGCCTCCATAATGCCTGGAAAGGATCGTCCCTACAAGTTTCGTGAATAAACATGCTGCATGATCGGGTCATTTAACTTCAAATAGGGACTGATAAATGCTCTCTCCACCCGAAACATTTGTTCACTGATTCTCCTGACAACCAATTGGCCTTCTTCTCCAGCAAGCTTGTCTTTTTCCGCATGAAAAAGAGTACTCGCATCCATAAATTTCTCTAAAGCATCATGTACGAGCGTCTTCGATACATTCCAGCGGCCCAGTATTTCATCAATCATGCCAAAAGAATTTTTGACTGCTTTGGCATAACATAAGACTTGGAAATAGAAAACAGAAGTGTCGCTAAAATGAAAGCGAGTCCGCCGATGAGTTTAGTCATGGGATCCACGAACTTTATCCTATATTAATTTTATCCAATAACAGCAGTCTATCCGCGTATGATAAACTGGGTAAAGAAGAAAATTATTATTTTCATCGTCATAAAAGTAACTGAAGTCAGCGGCTGGCACGCCAATACTCATACAAAAAGGCAGATAATCGGAAAAAAAGGTACGGGAATCGTGAAGGGCTTTCTGGGGTAGTCTGCTGATCTCCCATATCTCTCCAGTAGATTGTTGTAAAGGGTCCTCTTATCTAGACTGCTGATCGTCTTTATTCTATGAAACATCGCTTTGGCAAGCTTCGGGCATATCTGAGCAATCAAGACGTAGTTGCCACCCATAGCAACATCCGTATTCGAATAAACAACTGCTCGATCTACGAGTAGCTTGGTATGTTCCTCAACCCACTCGACCTAGCCTATTAAACCGAACTCCTGGGCTCCCCCTACTCCATAACTTAAATGTCCTTCGCAGCTTCCAGCCGTCTTTTCGCAAGTTTCCGAGGACTCGAGCGACTTCCATCAAAAGGGTAGAACCACTGCACCTGCGGCTCTGAATAAAAATGCGTCTCGATGTTTGCCCACAAGAACATACCGATCTGGTTCTTCTTCACCACTCATGGCTCCAATGATATTGTAATTAATTTTTCTTTTCATCTCTAGTTTGTTGTGTACTCGCAGACGCACCTATGTGCCGTGATTAGTAAATCCAGGACCAAGCCTTTGACATTGAGAGTTCCACGCTATCTATCGAGGACTTCGTCTCCTGCTGAAATATCATACTTAAAAAAATTATATTTGTTAAAAAAATATACCATTAGAGCATGCGGAGAGCTATGCAGTGTGCTTTAAAGGCCAAAATAAAATCAGGTCAAATGAAATCACATCTGGCGGACAGGACTTAACATTAACTAAAATTCATGAACGACTTTTGAGCAGGAAAAACATGCTCACCAGTTTTATGAATTCGCATGAAACAGTCTTTTCAAGATATCAGTGTTTTCTTTTTTGCATCGGTACATGACTTGTCTTCTTATACCCTGAATCATAGGATTGATATGTAATTCCTAAAAATTGCAGAATTTAGCTCATAATAGGCCATTTTACAGTTGTGCACTTAGTCGCCAAGCCTTTGATTTGGAGTGAGGCTGAAGGTGACCTTGTTGTTATAGAGACCAGTATCTACAAAGTAATTTACAGTTGAAAAGCAGCAAGGTTTGTATCATAAGAATGTCACCCTTAGCCTCACTCTTATTCAAAGGCTTGCCAACCAAGCACATAACTGTAAAATGGGCTATTAGCAACAATAAGCCAACTCCAACCAGCCAACTTAAAACCTCGTATGCACAAGCTAACTGAAACGCAAACCCTGGTACAATAAAGGTGGAAGGATTCTCTCCTTCCCCACGGATTAAGGCCAAAATTTACATGTGATGCGTAAACTTTTCACAAAGGCGAGGGTGATTCGTGAATTTATGAACCAGCGTAAGGCGTGATTTGTACCTTAAAATATGCGTGACGTTCATTTGGCGAAAACCTCGTGACTCACGCCTGACACCTTGTGTCAGACAGAGAGACTTGAAATTTTCTGTTTATATGGTTGGGGTTGAATATCAATTGGGACATCGTCCTGTTTTCTTCTCCAGTTGCCGATACTATTCTGTACGTGTAAAAAATTTCAATAAAGTTAAAGCAAAGTTAAAGTGCCAAAATGGTGGGTAAATAGTCATTAAACTTACAAAATGTAGCGTATATTAACCGGGTTTGTCACTTTGACTAATCACAACCACCCACATGGTACTGGCGCATTGTCAGTTTCTTTCTACCCAAAAAATGATAGGGAGAGGGCACAGGATCCCCCCCCCCCACCCTCCATCCATGCTATCCATGCTTACTTGCAGGCCTCGTACTAAGATATGTTGGTATTTATCTTGAAAGCCAATTTGTGTGGTATTACGTCATATTTCCTTCACCAACCACTTCTGGTTTCCGCAGACGAGACGATGACGTCCGACAATCAAGGGTCCTTGTGTCCTTGCGTACTTCTCGATGATGTAAACCTCTTTGGGAATAACAAAAGGCCCGAATCAAATCAAATTCTACTTTTGTGTTTTCAGAGAAAATCAAATAAAAGATTTCTCCAATACTTTAAAAACTTACGTCATCATTACGTTACAAGTTTCATGAGCCGATAGGCCATAAATCATAAATTGCACAGGCAAACATGCTTTTTTTAAATATGTCTAGTCACTACTCCTAATCAAATCATCTCTTAACGCTACTTTGCACGTGCCAGGTGTAGATTACTCGAAAGAGTTGTTCAGAGTTTTGAAGATCGATTCTCGTATGTTTAATTTCCATGTTATTGATCATTTACGACAATGACTATAGGCAAATAAAGTTAATTTTTTTTTTCATCGTAGAAGCTAAAATATCAAGTTCAATACGTTAATACGAAAGTCAAAATCCCGTATTGTATATAGCTCAACTCGGTTTCGGCTTTCGTCATTGACTTATGAGATCTAATCAAGAGCAAGATATTTTGTTGAGTATATGCTAAGAAGAATTAAAAACTGAACTAAATTTGGTGCTATGCGAAGAGGAAAAATTCGTCTTCTTGGCATGAAAATTTATTTTGAGCTGCCATATGATCAACCTCATTTCCTGCGATGATAGTCGAATAATTTGGCGTGTATTGTATCAAGAGGAGTATTCAGACTGTAAAAAATCTTGGCAAGCAACCACACTTCGAGTATAGACACTAATAAAGCACAATACTATGAACCTAGCTATTTATGTAATATTTTGAAATTTTAAAAATGGGAACCACTTTAAACAAAATAACCAATATTCTTGTTGTATAGATATATCGTGTTTCAGAAAGCTAAAATGATGTGGGCTGCTGAGGTAAATCGCATGACAACAAGAGTGGCAGGGGATTGGAAAGGAAAGCAGTGACCAAACAAGGCCTAAAGTAAAACGGAAAGGAAAGGTTTGATTTAGCTTGACTTTGTGTTGAATCTCGACAATTTTTTGCCCACGTTTTGAACTTTCTCCCTGTCCTAAGGAGAAACTCTGGGCCATCCATTTTCAGTTCGTCACCAACGAAGGGTTCCTGCAAGGAAAATTACCAAGCAAGTCTTTATTGAAAAGGTTCGTTTACATGTTAATTAAGTTTTTGTCAAGTAATAGGTATTTCAAGTATATTAAGCCAACCCTTTCCTCCATTAGAATTCCACTTCGACAAGTTTTTTTTTTTTTTCTGATTGTGAAAGGTCAAGATTTCTTTTTATGATTATTCACAGATTGAAAACTATATATTTGGAAGATACTAGCTGTAAACATTGTGTCAGACGAATAAACCTTGAAAACAGTTGATAAAAATAATAATGACGAGGAATGTGTATTGATCATTAATTAATTGAAAATCCGGGCGAACTTCAGACATCAATATGCAGTATATATTATTGTGACCGGCGATAGGAAGTGGCCGCTATAATCAGTCAACACGGCGAATCTTGACTGACGAAATGAATGAATTTTTATTTTTATTTTTTTATTTACCATTTTTTTATCATTATCATTTCTTAAAAGAGTTCCGCTGATTTATATCCACCTTGGAGCTCAACTCGTAAAAGTAACGTTAGTTGACAATTTGAACATGAAAACTTAAGAAATGGTCAAGAAATTTCAGGTCTTTATCTGGGGTAAGACTCAAACCGCTGACTAGGAATTCCTGCTGGTTAGCGGGCCCAAATAGGAGCGCCATTAGGCAAGTTACCAATGAATTTACTTTACACATATAAAATTTTCTGTTTTTTGTAGACAAACGATATTCCGTTGATGTTAGCAGCAATATAGGTATAGAATATACCGCTTTGCGGCCATGAAGGTTATCGAGATCAAACATTTTCCGTAGCTTCAAAATCTTAAGACAAGATTGAAATATTAATTATTTAGTTTCTACGTTGAGTAATCGAAACTCCTCGTTAGAAAATTCAGCCACAAGACAGGAGGGGAAGGGAAACTGGAAAAATGGGTGATATTGACACAATGCATGTTCTTCCTGCTGGCGCCGTGGTCATGGTGCATTACTCGCACAAATGATATTAAAAAAAAAACGGCCAATTTTCTATTCTTCTTCAAAGGTGTTGTTGACAAGGATCTACGGAGAAACATTCGCCTCCAAGATGACTTTACAACATTTTTTGCTTCAAATTTTATTCCTGGTCTGCCTCTGTGATGCAACTTTAGGATGTAATCCTGGTGAAACCCCTCTCAAGCTAGAGAATCGCTCAGATAGCTTCGTCAAGGGTTGCTATTGTAAAAACGAAAGACTTTCTTTGTGCTTCGAGATTCAGCGCGGGTTTGTACAACTGACAGACACAAACAACAATGTACTGGTGCAATTTAGTAAGCCAAATAGCCAAAGAACTCACGTAAAAGTATTGGGGCACGATTTCTTGTGGTAAGTTTTAGTAATCATTTTTTTGTTCAGAAATACCCCTGAAAGTGTCAGTCATATATTCATTACTTCATTGTTGTACTAACAAGCGAGTGATTTTCGCCCAATGAAATTTTAATCATTTAGCACGATGCTTGTACAACCAGTAAAGTTTTCACAATGCTTTTCACCTGTTGCGTTAAAACAAACAAACAAAAACAAAACTGAGCTAAACTAAAACAATTTCAGACAACTACCGCCTTCTAAAGGTTAACAGCTTACTTGCGAAAGCAGAGAAGGTAAGGTTGGAGGCGCAGCAGGGTAGAGGGACTGCGAATGAGAGTGAAAATTTTGCAAGGAAAAAAATCGCTAGCTCTTTGATTCTCGCCAAAATTAATCTCTATAGAAAGCAAAATTCATAAAGACTTTGTTATAAAACCCATGATCCATGGCACTAAGAAACATCCTTCGCCCCCCCCCTTCCCCCGATTTTTTAGCCAATTTATGGCTAATGGTTATAATATCTTTCCATTGTTGTCGCCAGAAATTTTTTTTTAGGGTTAAAATTTTTTACGACCGACGACTAAGGTTTGTCCATTTTTACGCCTAACGGTTAATTTTTGTTGGCCGTTTTACGTACGGCTAACGGTTGACACTATTAAGTCCCTCGAGAAGGTGGATACATTTTGGTTTTCATTTTGCATGGTAGGCCCCATCCTGGCTCCGAGCCGTTTGTTATCGGAAAGGAATCCAATATTTGGACCGAAGACTCAATATCTGAGAGAGTTACAGACCCGCCAAAGGGTATGAAACAAAGTTCTTCTGTGCTGTACCAAAGAGCTATGACGAGGCTTCGAAGGAAACCAGAAATGCAACTTCTGTTGGATGTTTCGCACGCCCTACACGACGAAGCAAGAGAAAATGCCGCAACAAAAGCCTTCCATGTGATGTCCATGAGCTTGCTGGGAACGCCTGGTGTCGCTGCGCACGCGCGTGACCAACAAACCGCCGCCCACAGATACCTAGGACTTTTTGACAGAAAGCGGAGCTCTTGTAGAGATCTTAGAGGAGATCCGGATGGAAACAAATGTCTAGGAATGTGTGGAGCAGGCTGCTGGTGCTGGAATCTTGTTTGTAATGACTGTTGTTATCATCAGGGATGTTACGAACACGATTTATGTTGCAGGAAAAAACGATTGTCAGGATACTGTCTGTTTCCATTTCTTTATGGCTTCAATTGTGATAGCTACGGGGGATATCCCAGCTGCGTTTAGAAATGTTATCAGTTCATGTCTGTTCGTGTTTTGAAAATAGAAAAACAAGACATGAAAGCTGGTAATCTACATCTCAGTTGTTTCTGCAATAACGTAAATTTGCGGGTTTTTTTCCACATAAAGAGTAGAAGAAAAATTAATGGGATCACAGCATGGGAAAAAACTTCTTGCCGTTATCTCAAGGCATATCATGTTGTGTCATTTCCATTGTCATATGTCATAAGTTGAGGGGAGGGGAGGGTGTTTAAATAAACCCCTGCTGGGACCACCCTCCCAAAAGTTCTAGCAATGACAAATAGTTAGCATTTTCAATAAATATAGTTCTGAGTCTAGTTAGAGAGAAAGCTGTACTAATATTTAAGATGTAATTGAATGAAGTTAGCTCCTGTTAAAATTTCTACTTAATGAGGATATTTATGGGAAAATGAATAAAGAGGATAAATTTCTAAAGAAACTGTGGTGTTTACATTTCAGTGTATTTTCCCGACACAAAGTCCAAGATGCCTCATGCACGTGAAAAACACTAGCTCTTGTCACATCGACAGTTTGTTTTGTCTCCATAACAGGGATCTAATCATGAACTAAGTCCAAAGACCACCTTCTGATAGCAACCGTAGAAGGTCTAAGATCCATACCACTTTAAGAAAACCAGCGCTTATACAAAGACGATGGAGAAATCTTTGTCTTCTCGCTGTTTGCTTATTTTTTTCCTCCGATTTTTGAACTTGGACATGGAGGCCAAAATTACACAAAGCCTTGAATTTACAAGGGCTGCTGGGAGTATTATTAAAGGCTGCTGGAAAGGCCAGGGCCAAGCTGAGACAGTTTCACCGATCTGCTTCTACATGTCTGAGAGGCTAATGCGTATAACGTATAATCGGAACGGACGTACTTTGGCGATATATCACACTAATAAGGAGAAAGATATCCAATACTTACAATTTCTTGGCGCTGGATTGTTGAGGTAGGCAGCGAATAGATGCTACACTGAGTTATAATACTATTGCGTTGCTTTGCTGTTAACGCCCGAGAAAATTTTCTCATGAACAAACAATTTCTCCATCGCTTAGTTAATAAAAGTTTACACGCAGCTTTCATATCAATGTTAGTCTGGAAATGATATGACAATAATGAATTAGTACGAGTAGCTGGAGTAAAACCATGTCTTTTTCCTTCTGTGTACTTGGTCCTTCGGTGTAATGACCGCATTTCAGAAGAATTTTACGTTTTTACGTTTTGATCTTTATGAGTCAAAGTTTACATCTGTCAAAGGAATAAAGGGGTAAGTTTCTTAAGAAACTGTGCTGCTACGTCGGTGGGAGAATATAACAAGGTAATTTGTTATTATCAACTGGGGTTGGTTGCCACCCTTGAAATGTCATGCCAATCCTTATGAAATTTCATAGTTTTACACCTCGATTGAAAGATAAACATTTCTATGTTTTGACTTACCTCAGACACAAGGCAGTGGAAAGGAGAGTACCGATGTTCATGTCGAGATTTCTCGCACGGAAAATCATCAAACGCAAGTTCAAAGAACTGTCCTATGAAAGCAATTCCTCAGGAGATCATCAAGTGTTCGTCAAAGAAATTTTGCGATCAACCAAACATGGTGCATATTTTAAGAGGAGAGGAAGAAGATCTCTAACTGAAAACGAAGTTGTAACGCTGGAGAAAATCTCAGCAACTTTATCCAAATACTTGTCGAGTTCTCACCTGTCAAAAGTTATGGAAAGATGCAACTTGTTCTTTTTGGGTCTCATCCACTCCAGAGGACCACTGGAGAACACTCCAAAGGATCATTTTATGGAACGATTTACAAGGAATCACATGGATTATGAAGTCAATGTTGTTAATCGCGTTTGTCCATCAGGAAAATCTCACAAACCTCCAAGAGGGACTGGGTACGATAGTAACATTGGGGCCAATAAAAACGTGAAATCGCACGATTGCGAAGACATGCGCAATGGATCAGACCAAGAATGTTTTGGAATGTGCGGGAAGAAATGCTGGTGTTGGCACTGGGTGTGCGGCGATTGTTGTTTGCACAAGGGTTGTCTGCAACACGATGCATGTTGCCGTTATGCAAATCCCCAGTATTTATCGACATATTGCCTTCTTCCATTTGTTTACGGGTTTAATTGCGAAAATGGTTATCCTGGCTACCCAACTTGTCTGCATAGGTGAATCTCCTTTGTTGCTAATCGAATGGGAACTTCCTTTGACGCGTGGGAAATAGGAGATTTCTCCGTCTAAGGTCGATTTAACCTTGTTGTTTCATTGCCTGACGATAATATACATGACTTTTGAACAATGTTTCAAAATATTGTTAATTTTTTCATGATGACATTTGCTAGGAGACGAAGGATCACATTGACATCATTTCCCAGGGTTCTTTATTGCACGCTGACGCCGTTAACGTTAAATTTTCTGTTGCTCCATGTTTTGATTGAACATTTTGACAACTTTTCTTTGGCCCTTTTCACCCTAAATAAATAATAACTAATAATAATAATAATAATAAATAATAATAATAATAATAAATAATAACTAATAATAATAATAAATAATAACTAATAATAATAATAAATAATAACTAATAATAATAATAAATAATAACTAATAATAATAATAAATAATAACTAATAATAATAATAAATAATAACTAATAATAATAATAAATAATAACTAATAATAATAATAAATAATAACTAAATATTCCTACCCTTCACATTGTTCTCGTTTCATTTTATATGGTTCTGACAGGGAGATGTTTTTGACGACCAGAAGCTTCTTATATTGGCGAGCATTTCCTCTATTCTCATGACCATCATACTTGCCTCAAGAGTGACAGGGAGAAAGGAGGGAACAGATGCTAGTCATTCGGGGGTTAAAAGGTTTATTGGGGGTTTTTTGATACGTACCGCAAAGGTAAGTGCCCATGAATACCTTTGACAGCCAAGCAAAATCATCTGTTAAGGTATTTAGTAATAAAGGACGTTTTATTGATGGCTGATGGGCGCTAAACAAAGGAACAGGGACCTTCAGCCGTCAGGACGGCAACGTCGAGAAAGACGATTAAAAAGTACATTTACATATTTAGTCAGAATTTCGCTAATGGCTGGTTGTGTTTACCATCTCTTACGTTGCCACAACTCAACTTCAGCAAAACGCATTGAGTCTACAGTTTTTCCGTTATCAGACCATGCAAATTTCGGTGATATCATGTTGTTGTTTTGCAGAGAACGGTTAAGAAACGTACACTTATTTCATAGCGCACGAGCTGAGCTATTGTTCTGCCAATTAGATATTTTGCTTTGCCAAGTTTTCATTGCAATCACTGTCCTGGTTTGCTTAGTTCGCTAACGATGAAACAAAAATGATTCATGTTCCCATCGGAAAGACAAAAATATCATACAACGTATAACAATGAAAATAAACCCTGGCTTGTCACAATAATTGACTAATTTAAATTTTGGTAAAAAAAAAAAAAAAAAAAGGGGCCTTTTTTTCAGTCTTTAAGCACCCTATTAGGAAATGAGGCCCTAGCGGAGAGGGCGTGGGATCGTACGAACACCAAGGAACCGCAAAGTCTTCCTGAGTAGTGTAAACATGCGCGAAGGATCTACTGCTGTGAGGATGAAGTAAAATATGCCAAACTGCAACCACATTCAAAATACGATTGATTTGTTCTAAAGCTGACATCTTGTTACAGTTTTATCTTTCTGTTTTTTACAACTTTCAGCAAAAAAAAGGACAATTAATGTCTACGGTATTTCAGTCTTGACAACACGCCAAATCCTTGACACCGACCACCTGGTTTACGAGATTTCATTTGAAATATTTACACATAAGATAATCACGTTTTGATAGATTTAAGAATTAACCAAACGGTTGAAAAATTGAGATTTACGAAATGAAAATGTTTCCTTCCACTCGTAGTACATGTGTGTAAGTTGTCATACGGTAGCCAAAGCCTTTTTCGCCAAGTGTTTGCTCATCCATTCTAAATATGAACAGTCCGGGAGCTTCTTGCGATTATACGCCTCACTGTAAACTGTTGCACCATCCATCTTTTCAGTTGATTTTTCAAACCTCTCCTCTGGTTTAATACAAGTGCGCGGCCGTCCACCTTCAGCGCCCTTAAAGTCTTGCGTTGTCACTGATCCGTCTGTGTAGAATTTCACAAGAGGCTTGCGGTAAAAGTTTGTCTCGTGGAAATCACCGTAGCGGATGTAAGGAACTTTGCTGTATGGCTTGAACTGAGCGTTGTAGGCAGTTTCGTCGAAGAATTTCGCTTTGTTTGGCTCGATTTTGGAAGGTGGCCTTATTTTCGTGACTTTCACGGGTTCTTTTTCTTTGAAATCTTCTTTGGTGATGGTGGTGGTGGCAAATTTTGTTTCTGGAGGCACATACTCGTCGCTATCCGGCTTTAGGGCCTTTGTGCGTTCAATCTTCCTTGGATCCCACGTGATCTTGTAAAAGCTATTATTGGTTGTTTCAAAATCACGCCCGTTGTCCATAGCCAATCGGAGAGTGGCGGGTGGTGGTGTAACGGGTTTAGGTGGCAACGGCATTTTCGCGCCGAAACCTGGAAAGTCGCTCTTAGCTTGAGTTTCGCCCTGAAACTTGGCGCGCTTCTGGGTCTTGAGCGTCGGCTGGCGAATAGTCATTTCCGGCCTGGCGTCTTTCGTTGGTGTCTTGAAAGCATCCCTATGAACCGTTTGTAAGAGGTGATCTCCTTCAATACCAATGGTCACTTGCGCTTCTTTAGGCTTGAAGGCGTCGGGGCGCGCCGCAAATTTACCACGGTATACGTCTTGATTCCAGGTTGTTACGTCATATCTGCCGTTTTTCTCAGGATAGAGGATTCCCCCCGTGTAACAAGGGAGTTCGCCAAACGGTGCTTGGGGGCTGGGCACTTTGGGCGTGAACGTTTGGTTGTGAGTGGTGGCCGACTGAAATTTCAGTCCCTGGTTTTGCGTGACTGTCTTTGGTCGCGTTATCTTCACCACCTCTGGAGGGCCTCGGTTTACAAACTCTTGCGCATAGATTGTCTTTCCGTCCAGTTTCTCGTCAGGTGGCTTGTAATTATCCATCATCTATGCGAAATAAGGAGATTTGAATGAGAAGCCTTTAGTACTTGCGTCTCAAGTTGAGATAACGTACAGGTGTGAGAAAGATCCAGAAAGCGCAAAAAACTTGGTGATTTATAACACTTTGCGTGTAGAATGTGTGTCAGGAAGCATATAGACAGTCGCGTGCGAATTCTCATTCAAACCCGACTAAATCTTAGTTATTACTCGCGTAACTGGCTCAAAATCACTCGCTCGTTTTTGGTCGCGTCATTTTTACACTCACACCATAGCTAAGACTTCAGCCTAATATAATCAACAGGAACATGGTGAAACAGGCAATGTTACGTCATCATTAAACCCAAGCTTAAAACCCCTTTATTACCTTACAGCTTCCTTGTGGTTCAGGTTTCCTTGGGATAAACTCCATTCTCTGAACCGTTCTGAAGTCCATAGGGGGAGGGTTAGGGTTCCTAAGGCGCGGGAGTGGTTTTCTTGTATTGCGAGGTTTAGCTCCATCATGTGAAGTGTAAGTGTTTTGATAGTTAGTCTTCGCATCTGCCAGCCCCGGTCGCTTAAATACTGATTTCATTTTCTGTGGCTCTTTTGTGCAGCCGATGTGAGGATGGTATCCGCTAACGATGAGAAAAAAAAAGATATTGAAAAACTAATAAATAGTTACACTGTAAATAAGTATAATTTTATATCCCTCACGGACCTTGACCTATGTCCTAGCAAGCAGTATATCGTGGCTAGTCGACAGGATGTGACACCTTTTTATGGTCTCTACTCATCATTTCTTCCTCAGAATTCCTTAATTAATTAATTCATTTATTCATACATTTTTTTTTTTCAACAGTAGTTTAAAGCACAGGTCAGTTGAGAGGATTTCAAACTCCCACCCCTCAATATTTTGTCAGCCGAAAAAAAAATGGAGCTATTGCGTGTTCTCAAAATAGAAATACGTTGCATGTCTATCATGGATCTTAGAAGAAAAAAAAAAAAAACGCCATATTTCCTCTCCTCTTCCACGCGCGACAATGTGTTTCGCGCGTCGTCATATCAGCCTTTCGTGACAAATAATCTACGCTTCATTGCGAAGAAACCTCATTGTTGATATTCAAAATTTTCTCAGATGCTATTTTCGGAGAGCAATTCATCTCAAAAATTCAAATAATGCGACTTCCAGGAGTTTTGAACGAAGTTAATTAAAATCTCAATATTTTCCTCTGTGGAACAATCCGTGGACAAACTCGTGATATGTGAGAAGCCCGACAACAGCAACGAGTAAATCGAGACTCTCGAAGCATTCAATCAGTTTCTTATAATAACAACCGATATCATGAAACTCATGATATAAAACAACGCTCTGTTTATACTACAAGTTGATTCATGATAGTATCTCAAATAAACCGTTAACTGGAAGCAACATCGAGGACATTTTATGAGCATTTTGAGAATATTATGGTGTAACCCCTTCGACCTTTAAATAAATGTACGCTATAAGTTTGTTTTAACCTTACGAATGACATTTTCTCTTTCTACATAAATAAACCTCTAAACATTGTTTCAGAAGACGAACAGAAAATATGAATAAACGAATAAACAAATAAATCTCTTGTGCCCACATCGTCAATGCGCGTGCAAACCCAGTCGTGACAACTCGCATTCCTGCGGCTGGTAACTTCAACATCTTCGCAGTCAAAATTTAAAGTCCTTTAGCACTATTAAATTCATTTATCGCGAAAATTTTTATTCCTTTTGTGTGAAGTACAATGAAACAGCTGGTTGCATTCTATAGGGCTGTTGCAGAATCAATAATTCATCTCAGTCGGACGAAAGTCTTAATTACATTTAGAGATGCTTGTTTCACCTGCAATTCACTTACCCACAATCGCATAACTCGCAGACACATCGCAGCCCTTTGTCTTTCAACAGTTTTTCCGTTTCGGCTGTATACATCCTTGGGGCAGTCATTCTGCTTTTCCTTGTTCCTCAAAATCTAAATAAAACACAGCAGAAATTAGCGTGGTCCATGGAACGACTCCCCTTCGACTGAACTGAAATTCGTGACTTTTCGCACAATCATTCGCTTTAGAACAATCGTTTTCCTTCGGTTATAACTCTAAACAAAACAGGTAGTTGTACCTTGAAACAAATCAGCGGTAAATTGCTTTCATAAGAAAATAACTCGAGGAAATGGGTGAAATCTATCTTTTGAAGTGCGATCGAGTGTTGTGAGTCCGCTTTGCTCTGCTATCACCATTGACAACCACTTCACTTGATGTGAATAATCGTCCCCTGGGGCTTATTCCCTTGTGTAAATTAAACGACAGAAAAAACTCTCTTTGATTGGATATTGAGCCTAGCCTATTGTTAATGCGTCATTATGGAATATGATAGAAGTCAACAATTCCCGTCAATATTAATGTATCTATTATTTCTGTCATTTGACTCTGTCCGATAAGTTACCGGTTATGTTCGTAAAGGTCCGTATATGTTCGTAGGAAATGACGAGGGTTATTCGAAGATAAGTCACATGATTCGAACGTTTTCCCGCTCAAGATCAAATATGGCGGCAAGCAGCACAGACTTGCCTGCGAAGAGATTGTCAGCAAGTGAATGAATCTAAAGGTCTAAAAAATAAACGACACTTACGCAGAACTCATGGTACAAACTAGAATGCAATGAATCTTTTACCTTCATCTACAATTCGGCTGATCGCTAGTTCACAAGTGATAACCTCCGTTAGCTCAGTAGTGAAAGAACTGATCGAGAATTCTCTTGATGCTGGAGCATCAAGCATTGAAATCAAACTGGTAAGATTTCTTTTTTTTGGCTCATTTTTGATTGCATTTATAATATATTTTTTTTCTTATCACTGGAAAATCCATGTTGTACATGTTCGTTCATCAAATAAATTAATAAGCTACATGTAAGTGAGATCAATTTGTTCTCCGGGAAGTTAACTAATTAAAAGTATATATCGCTCACGACCAAGGTTCAGTTTGCGAATAAGTTTGTTTGGTTTTGGATTGCAACTATTTTCTCCCTAGAGGAAAAACTACTGGTTGACAATCTTTCCTTGTTACCCTCAAGGGTGTTTGAGTGTCTAACAGCTGTTTTGATGATTACCTTTGAAGCAAAATTTTTACTGGTAGCTCTTACTTTATCTATTTTCAGGACGGCTGGGGATTGGAAAGAATTGAAGTTCGAGATAATGGTTGTGGTGTGAAACCAGATGATGCTCCCTACTTGGCCAAACCCCATTACACGTCAAAAATTTTAACTGATGATGACTTGAAATCCCTGCAAACGTACGGTTTCCGCGGTGAGGCTCTAGCCTCGCTCTCATCTGTCAGCAATTTGTCTATATTGACAAAAACAGAATTTGAAGAAGTTGGCATGTTGTACACATTAGAACATGATGGGAAGATTGTAGCCACCAAACCAAAACCTACCACAACTGGGACAACAGTTACAGCAGCAAATTTATTTAAAAACCTCCCTGTGAGAAAACAGTTTTCAAGCAACACCAAAAAATGTAAAGAAGAGTTGAAAAGAGTGGAGGACTTGGTGATGGCATATGCAATTATATGTCCATCTCTGAGGATCATTTTGCGTCATAACAAGGCAGTCGTCTGGCAGAAGAGTAAAGTTGCAGATGAGCGAACAGCATTATTGACTGTGTTTGGAACATCTTTGTTGGCACAAATGGGTTCAGTAGAATATCATGATAAAGAAGAGAGTGGCATTCATATACTTGGATACCTTCCAAGGCCAGGATCTGATATGGAAGTTACAGGACGTGCAGTGAATGATCGATGTTTTATATTTTTTAATGGAAGGCCTGTTTACATGAAACAAATATCTCAGGTACAGAAAATGCATCTTTATTGCTAGATATAGTTTAAAAAATATTTTGAATCATTGAACAACAGGTTATTGGATAGTTCAGCTTCAAGCTCTTTGCGGGCCATTATGATCTGTTCTTGTGAAAGAAATTTTAAATTTTAAACTACTTTTCGCTGCTAAGGAGTACGATTAACTCCTGTACTAGTAAACTATCTGGGTGAAAAGTTTGTTGTGTATACAGTATCAACCCTTTACACCCTAACATCAGTAGACATATTCTCCATACTGTTCTTAATACATTCCCTAAGGTGCTGATAAGGAGAATTTGCTTAACAATCTGGAGCTTCTATCATTGGTAATCATTTCCTTTTTTTTGAGGTGATATTGTAAGAAGAAATTAGATGTTAATCACTTGGAGGGGTTAAAGGGTTAACCTTTTACACTCTAACATCAGTATGTATTTTCTCCATACTGATCTCTGTACAGACAAGGGGAATTTATTTAGCAATCAAGGATGTCTTTTGTTGGTGATCATTCCTTTATTCTCATGACCTAAATGTATGATTCATGGGTGTTATGGTAGAGGGAAATTATATGCTGGTCACTCTTAGTGTTCAAAGGGTTAAAATCAGAATTTAAAAAAATTATCTCTAAATCTCTATCTCTATCAAAATGCTGACTGGTGAATTTTAATAAGAATATATCACAAAAGCACTGTCCCAGTTCATAATAATAACCATGTGGAAACAACAAGAAAACTTCTGTTGCTTGAGAAAAATGTGGTGGGAATCTCGGATGGTGTTAACTTTTTGGAAATAGTGTAATTTTGCACAAGACTATAAGGATTATTCCCATGCAAATATTACTGGTAGCTATGCACTTGGTACAGCGTAGCTTCATGCTTTGGAACGAGTTTGAAGACAAGCTTTACAAACTGCAGCTGCAGGTTTTCACACTGATTTTATGTTTTTAATCACAGTTGATCAAGCAGTACTACAACAGACAAGTAACTGTTGCATCAAACAGATACCCTGTTGCTTTTCTAAGCATCACGATACCTCCTGAAGGCCTGGACGTCAATCTGGAACCCAACAAAACTAGTGTGATGTTAACAAACCAAGATGAACTAATGACAGTTTTGACAAAGCTGTTGGATGAGTTTTATTCAGAGGAGAACAACACACTCCCTAGTTGTGATGTTGCTTTAGAGAACAGAATAGTTGCTACTGATAAACTTGGTGACATTACTAACACTTGTAGTATGAATGGGGAGATAAGAACCAAGACATCTGGGGATGCTAGAGCAATAAACAATCAACAAGGCATGAGTGTTCAATTGGACAGCAATGTTGTACATGATAACATGCAAAACAAGGAACAAGATATTGACAATAACCATAGTAAGCTAGCAAACATTTTTGATACAACTGGCAATAGAATCCCCACAAGTACTTCAAGCAAGGAGAAAGATTTGCTGCTGGAGGAATCATCTTGTCATGAACCAACAAATCAAAGCAACCAAGGGAAAGATGCACTAAAATCTTCTACTCAATCAACAGAAAATGGTGAATCAGTAGATGACGTTCCTGTATTATGTTTATTTTCCCCGTTACAGAAAAACTCAGGAATTTTGAATAACAAAGACTCATTCCAGTCAAATATTTTGCCGTCTAAAGCACTCTGTGAGTCATTAAGTGACAAGACCTTGGCTGAAATGAATGAATCAGTTAATAATATTGACAAAACATTGTTTAATTCTTTCAAAGAGATTCCTGGAAACACTGCTGAAAGTGGTGGCATTGAAGTTGCTGAAAGAAATTCAGTTTTGAACAATGCTAATGGCAACAAATCAGTACCATTTGCAAAAACAACTCGCTCTGAAAATGGCCCAGATGCAGCCAATAAGGAAAAATTACTGGAAAAACAACAGGAATTGTCTGGGAATAAAAGTTTGACATCTGCTGCTGCTAGCAGTCCTTCAGAGAGAAACTTGTTTTCACTTAGTCTGGATGATTTGTTTGAGGATTCTGACTTAGATACCACTGGTCCATTGGATGATGTTTTCTCTGCCAAGAAGTCTACTCAACAAAATTTGACGTTGACTTTGAATAATGAGAGAACAACATGTGGTGAGGAAATCTCTAAAGGACATTCATTTGAAGGCACCAAGGTGCAATATACTGACAAGCAATGGAGTATGGGAGGTGGAATTGTTGACAAGCTTGGGAATCCTGTGCAGGTAAAAATAGTAAGCAATATACCATAATTTTTTTTTGGCTATAAGGTGCACTCAGTTATAAGACGCATTTGGAATTTTTTGACTTGTTTCTTTCAAGTTTACAAACTGAAAATTTTGCTTAAATACTCAGTTAAAAGACAAAACATTAGCATTTTCGAAGTTCCCAATACAGTCATGCCATCCTTTTTTTAACAAAAGTCACACATTGGCAAGAACAAAAAAAAAATCAATTACCTTTAGTGTGAACTAGAGATAATTATAGATAAATACAGTCTGCCTTCCAAGGAAACAGTGTTACTTTCTAAAGCTATGAATACTAATTGACCCAGTTTAAGCTTTGTAAGCATTTCTCATCTGGTCAAACTCCTTATTGTAAAACTTCATTCACAGTGGTTCAGTAAGCATTGCTAAGTTCCAAAACAAAAATCATGCTTTGTATGCAATGTTATTCTTACGATCTGAACTTTGAGTTGAAAATAGTAGCAGAAGTAGAAGCAATGAAAAACAATCCCCTTAAAAAGCAATCCCCTTAAAAAACAATCCCCTTAAAAAACAATCCCCTTAAAAAACAATCCCCTTAAAAAACAATCCCCTTAAAAAGCAATCCCCTTAAAAATGTAGTTGACATACTGTAATTTCTTTGTTACACAAAAAAAAATTTACCCAAATTTCTGGAGAGGCAAATGAAAGGAGGGGGGGGGGGTGGTGGGGTTCTTAAAACCATTACCCCAATTATGATCAAAGTGAGTGATCCCCCACACTCTCTTTACGAGCTGAGAACAGTAAACTATTCATGTTCTCAGACCCACTTCTGAAGAACGTGAAAACCTTTACCCAATTTTTGGACCAAATGTTTTAATCTTTTCCCAGTTTCAAACCATCGGGGTCAGAATGCATCATGATCATTTTTTCCATGGGCAAACTTACATGTACAGGATTGTATGTTTTTTTCAGTCTCTAGTGTCGTTAAGGGAGTAATCCACCCTCCCCGCCCTACCTCTATTCAGTTACTCCATTTCCCAGGTAATGCAATGATCACACAGGTGAACTTTGCCACCAGAAAAGACAGGTCCAATGTAGAAGTGCACAACTTGTATTTGGGAGGCCAGGTGCAAATTTAGTTGTAGTAGCTTGAATTTTTTTCCAGGCTCCTTGAAGTTTAGCTGTGAGGATCATTGTTTCAGTGATTTTTATCCTCAGGTCAAATGAAAATTGTGCTTGTAAATCATATTTTTAGGGCAATTACTTGTTGATGAATTATTTCCATAGATTATTATTTGAAATCAAGATTGTCCATTGACATAAGTATTCCAACAAAGCAATACCTAATTCATAGAATAAAGTTATATACAAGATGTCTGTTGATCTAAACTGTAAGGGTTTCATATTGTTGCAGCCTGTGTCATTAGTGACCCCTGGTCCTTTGAGAACACTGTCTTTGAAAAGGACTCCATTACCTCATCTCAGAAAGAGGAAACACTCATCTGAACAGGTGAATTTTTCTGTACACTTGTCAACAGCGTTCATTCAGATAAAAAAACAGACACCTTTATTTAATTTTAAGACTGCTGATGGTTCTTTCAAGAGCTTGAAAGCAACCTGAAGTAAAGTCAAGGACTGAAACAACTGGAAAATCATGGAATTCCACAATTAAAAGTTTCCATGTCTAAGGAAATCATAGAATTTGGTTACCATGTTTCCTCAAATAAGTGTTCATACTCTTAATAGTTCCCTACCCTAAATTACCCCCCACCCAATGGAGTGCCCACCCCCTAGGCCCTAATGTCAAATAAACAGTCCACAAATAAGTACACACCCCCCCCCTTCCCTCACCTTCTTAAACAGTAAGTATGCAAGGAAAACCTGTCTCTATTGCCACTTTTTAAAAATAACTTTCTAAGCTTCAACTGCAATGGAATCAGTACAAGAATATAGTATGTGCCTCCCCTCTACATCTTCCTTCCAATAAGCACCCCTCCTTTCAGCTAAAATATTTAATAAGCCTCCAGGTATGCGCTAAGGAAAGTGAAGAAAAATGAAAAACAACAACAACAAAAAAATGATTATGAAAACATCAATACATGATTGTATTCACATCATTTTTGAAGCATCTTCAAGGTTTTAGATCTTGAAGAATACCAAAAAAGGTTTGTGGAAAATCAAGGATGTTTGTGGGTTAGCAATTTGAACAGCAAAGATAGTTTTTGAAACTCTTAAATGAAAAGTTTGTCCTTTTTACTCTTTTTTGGTTGTAGGACAGGTCAAGGCTGTCACTATCCAGCAAGAAAATAAAGAAAATGCCAGAAGTGAGTTTTGCAGTTTCAAATTACATGGCCATTGTATAAAGTTGTTCTTTGACTGGCCATCTGACTCTCAACTTATTTACCAGTACTTGCACTGAAGGATGTCCAATACCTAGAACATCATCTATTGAAAATAATTTTCCTACAATGGTCAATATGTCTGTACATGTATTGGCTTTAAGTTAATGATCAACCAAGTGCTTCTTTGCTCTTAACAATCATACCAATTATTGTGATTTTTCAAAATTTTCTCCTGAAAGTAGGTTATTTACATATCTTTCTGAGTTGCTGTTTATTTCCTGGGTCTGGTTTTTGTTCTGAGTGTTAGTGTTTTTTTTTTTTTGGTTTTTTTTTCCTGTCACTATGGTAACATTTGTCACTTACACTAGCTGAACCATTGGGATATGCAGCAGACTCTCAGGAGGGGAAGGTGTTGTTCTAGATTTCGCTATATTTGGAGGGAATGCATGAGGTGTCATTAGATCTCGATAACATGACATCAATGCCCATACGTACATGTACCTTCATAAAGTTTGCATGTACCTCAATACCTCATTTTGTATTAATTTGTTAATTAATTTTTGCCATCTCATTACTAGATAACTAATCAACCCCTGATAAACAAAGTTATGTCACCAAATCCTCTTCAAAGAAAACTTCTCTACAAGAAAAAGGAAGTTCAGTTTAGCCTGGGCGACTTAAAGAACTTGGCAAAAAGGAGAGCTAAAGTAGCAAGGTATGAACACATCTTAGACAGGTGATAGGATAATGCTATAGGTTGGAGAGCTTTTGGGCTTCATGACATAGTAATTGGTGAACCTCCACATCCTAACATCAGTGTGCATATTCTCCACACTGTTCTCAAAACATTTTCCAAGGTGCTGACAAGGAGAATTTGTTGAACATTCTTTTATTTTGTGACTTGTGTTGACTCACGGATGATATTGTAGGGGAAATTAGATGCTAGTCACTCTTAGGTGTCAAAGGGTTAATAAATAAGTAATCTATAATGATTAGAATTTTCTTATCAGAACACTTGCTGGGGGAATCGAATTTCCATAAGTAAGAATTAAACTCAATATTTATTTATATATTTGATTTGTTGGCTTTTGAATCTGAAGCTTTCTGAATTTTTTTTTTTTTTTTTTTTTTTTCTATTTACTTCTGTTTATTTAGTCATGTTTTCAGGTCACTTTAAATTTGTGTTTTCGTGTTATGTCTCTTCGTAGCTATTTAGAGGATCATTTCAATACAGACCATTTGATTGGTCGGCTGGATCCCTGGGGAGTTTGGCTAATGCAGAAAGGAAAGGATCTTGTTTGTGTCAATCAGTACAGGTAAAGAAAAAAAAAATGGTTATTCTCCTAGTTTGTCATGGAATTTGTCTAACTCAAAATGATAGTAAAGAATTTAGACAACAAGCAGTCCTTCCTTTTCAGCGAAGTTAGTCATGCGAGTCAGGAGGAAAAGGCGAAAAAGATCTTAGCGCGGCGCGCGGAACTGTGGGAGTGAGGTGCATATACAAAAGGGTCTCTACCTCTATGCTTTCCAATCTCAGATTGCCACGCGGCACGCCGATATATATATTTTTTTCGTCCCTTTTTTTTTTTTTTCACTCGCGTAACAGATTTCGCTAAAAATAAAGGCACTGCTCCTAAGCTGGGTAGAATTTTGTGGTTCATCAATTGTTTCTTTTCGCTGCAGAGTACAAGAGCAGCTTCTCTTCCAACGACTGATGGCTTGTCATTCTCTTCCAAAAGAAAGGCTGGATCATCCCGTCATTTTAAATGAGAGGTACGCATGCACATTTATACACGTTTTTTGTGACACTGAATAGATCGACTTTCAATAAAGTATTTATGTATCCTGGACTATTTTGGTTTGAAATATCGTACTCATAGTGCTATGGACAATTTGTACTAGCCTCTCATCAGACTATGAGCAGTCCTTCCTTTTTTTGAAGTTCGTCGCGCATATTGAAAAAGTCAGCGAAAAAAAGTTAGGTTGATGTTAGTGCGCTACGCGCAACCCTGGGAGCGAGACACGCGATTTTTCACACGATTCTCTGAGTTCTACACGGCACGATTTCCTTGCCTTGCGTAACGGGCTTCGTCGAAAAAGAGGGACTACTCGTAGTCAATACGATAAAAAACAAAAACTTATCTCAAGTGAAGTTTAACTTGAAGTTAGTAACGCTTGTTTACATAAGTTCTCATTGACCCCTTGGTGCTGAAGAGATCTATCTCAGAGAAAAATAGAAAGGAACTACTCACCAGCTTAATTATGTTCAACCTTTTTATGGAGACTATACGTGTAGAGAACAGGAATCCACCGATGCCTTGCAAATGAAACCTGTTTGAGAGCACTTCATCAACACGGAAAATCTAATAATAAAATAACAGGCTGCAGGTTCCTTTTTGTCTCAGAAATTATGGCAAAATTTTTTAAAGTCTGTTTTGAAATCACTTCACTTCTTTCAGGGCTTCAGTGAATCAAATTTACGATGCAGTTTGCGAAATGATGTTTAGATTTAATTAGACATTACATTTCTTTTCGCATTTTCTTTTCTTTCAGAAGTGTTGGTGGTCCAGATTGTTGGAGAATGTTGTGTAATTTGAGTGTTAATTGTGACCCACCGGACACCACAAGGTATGACGGGAAGAACACAGTGGTCAAACGTTTGGCGTGCGTGAGGGGATCAATTCTGATTGGCTGCGCGCCTATTTCCCAATTTCCCTCGAAAAATTTCAAAGGAAAATATAGCAAAAAAACCAGTCTCACAAAATAAGCGAAAGAAAAAATAATTTTGTTTTGAGCTTTACCAAAAATGTTAGACTCTTTAAACACCATGACTTGCTGGCTTGTGTGATTTAAAAATGAACTTATACTTTACCTACGAGTCTCGCAATACTCTAAAGTCACCTTAGAAACTGAACATGAAACACAGCGTTAAATTAGAAATAGAAATTTACAAAATTAGCCGTCGTCGTTCGCGTTCTCCAGACAACGTAAAGTTTGGTCATTCCACGTTGTTGATTTTCAGAGGAAGCAAAGAAATTTACAAAGATTTTTAACGCACGTGCACAGCCATTGTTCTGCTCATTAAACCTTTCTGTTTAGTGACGTTCCCGTTGTCGTTGTCGTCGTGGTTTTCTTGAACTCCTTAATAAGAAAATGCACCTGTTTTCGTATACTCGTATTCAAAGTAAAGCGTTTTAGCGTAGGAGTAGCAATCGATCGGGTATTCTGGTCGACCGAGTGAAGGTAGCCCCGAGAAGGACTCTTGTCGGTGGTGAATGACATTTTGATAACCCTATCGGAAGTCATCGTCAGAGCCAAATAAAGATTTGGGATCGATGTCAGTTTTTAAGCAACAGCGCACTTACCCCTCCCCTAACCTTACATTAAACTTTAAACTTTAGGGAAAGGGTTAGTGCGAAGTTGATACTGACATTGATCCAGAATTTTTTTGTCAGCCGAGTGCAATAAAGAATATTGGGAAACAGAGGAAATTTTCTTTTCCAGCTCAAGGATAAAATACTTTTGTCTTTGATAGATGGATCGATGACGGACGACTAACAGCAAATGGATTCGATATCTGTTTAAAAAACGGTAAGGCTTTAGGAATAATTCCTAAGTATAATCACTAGGACTCTTTTGGTACTCAAAAGGGCATAATTTTTTTATGCTGATTGAGCCTTTTTACTGTTTGCGGCAGCGATTCATTGATTGAAATTTAACTGAATGAAGCTGTGTAACGTTGTTAACGAAATATTCATTGAACCTATTGATCAGTTACGTTTGTTTCCAGATGTTGAAAGTGGAGAGACCAAAGTAGAGTTACATAGAATATCTACTAGCATACCCTTTTATGGAGTGCCAGATTTGGTAGAAGTTCTCGGTAAGATGCGACCTCACAGTTTGCCCTGTAATCCGTTTATTATCGTTTGTATGTATAGTCTATAGTCTTTGTCACGAACCCATAGTCTTGCGCCACGTAACTTTGATTTAGTCGTATCTTGTGTACGTATTTCAAGTTTAAGAACATGCTCAAGGGTCAGTTCAGAACGTGTTAATTTGTTCCGTTGTTTTTTTTGTTTTTGTTGTGGTTGTTATTGTTGTTATGTTTTGTTGTAGTTTTTCGGTTATTGTTGTTGCGCCTAAGCTTATTCGGGTCTCCGCTGGATTAAGCGACTAATAGTGTTGATACTCTTCATTCCCCTCCTCACGCGGTGCAATAAAGATTTATTACCCGCCTCTCCTTTCTTAATTGGATCTCATAAAGCCTACACAAAAAGTAAGAAGGACATTTTGCTGTTTACGTTTCCTGTGAACTTCGTTTGTATTTGTGTCACCTGAATTTATCATTTACAGACATTTCCTCTCTTTCAGAGTTTATTTGTCAAAAGGACGGCGGCGATTCCAATTCTCTGTCAAAGTTCCGACCTTTTAAAGTTATCCATTATCTCCAGGTATTGCATCAGTTTCTCAATAAAATATTTCATACAGGAAAATAACGAAAACGCGATTCACACGCGTGAGACATTAGGCGCCCTTTTTCCTCTTTGTTTCTCCTGGTGCATTGGTTTGTACAGTACATTTTAAAGAAAAGTATATCAAATTTCCTTAGCACTTCAGACTTTTGTTTGATATTGAAATCTATTTTCAGGGTGAAGCGGTTCGCGTTGCTCGTTCGCTCAGTTCCCGGATGAACAGAAGTGAAGTGGATGAGCTACTATCTCGGATGGACAAAGAAATTCCTCTGGATTTGAGAAAATGTGTGCATGATCGTCCATTTTTTTTAACAATCGCGCAAATCCCTGAATGAAACAAATTGTTTTAAGAGAAATCATTCTAGTCTTTCAACAGTAAACTATGTCTGCGCTTGTTTCTTTTGAGGAAAGCAGCCATACATGTAGAAACAAAAGACACATACGATCGTGTAGTTTGATCGTCCGGGTGACAGTGGTCCCAAAAAGGACTTCTGTTGTTAGTGGTGACTGACGTGTCGGCAACCGTAACGGAAGTAATTATCACTAGAGTGGATTGAAGAGTTGTTGTTAGTCGAGTGTGATGCGTCCAGTTCGTGTGAACGGGATAGTCAGTTTAGCCGTAATGTTATTGGCTATAAGATTCAAGTGGTGTAAGTCGGTCGAGATTGGTATAATGAGCTCGTTCTGTTCGGTTCGCTGCTTGAATACATGTCGTGAATACCGTGCAAGTAGTTTGAATAGTGCCGGTAGTGACACCTGTCGAGGGGAGTCTGTTCTAAGTTACTGAACCAGCTTTCCAGAGTCATTCGTTGTAAGACGCGAGTGCTGTAGGCTGTAGGCTAGGCATTACGCAGAGTCTCAGTCAATAGCAGTGAGTCGACATCAATATTTCTATTCTCTCGTTTGTCTTCAGTCAGTCTTATTGCGAAGTTCCTTCCATTGTTCAATGTAGGAGGGTTGATAGTCAGATCACTCAGTGTTAACATCACCCGGACGATTAGACTACACGATAAGGTTATTCTCCCCACCCCAGGATCATTCTCCTCTCTTAATATACATCTCATGATATACAGAAAATTTGTAATGATTTGTCATGTCACTCTTGTGATACAATTTATTCAAGATAACCTTCCAAGAGACTAGATTTTAGCATTCCAACACACTTGCTTCTCACTGCGAAACTCTTTCGAGAATTACACATCAGCAATGACAGATGATTATCCTCAGTTTCTAACGTTTCTGGAATAAGAGAGGCTGGTTAACAGCCAACGCCCTGCTATCTTTGTTGAGATTCCATTTCCAGTCTATGAGCCTTCACACAAGCTGTAGAGCAGTACTTATGCGTGAGCCGCTCAAAGGGAACTTGGCCAACCAAACTTTTACTGCACCACGCACAGCTGCAAGATGATTCATTGTTTTCGTTGTTTTTGTTGAATTTGGGGGAAAAAAGACAATGTAATAAATAGAGAAGCCTTGACTGTGCTCTGTTCTGTTGTAAAGCACGCAAGAAGCGGCTAGATCACGAAAGAAGTGTGGGGAGAAACACGAAACGCAGTCCCCACTTCTTGAATGCCCTAGTCGCTTCCTAAGTGCTTTACAACAGAACAGTGCACAGTCAAGGCTTCTCTACTTGTTTTATAATAAAGAATCCGTTAACTTTCCCACGCATTACTTTCAATTTTCAAACAAACTTTACTTCCAAGGCGAACAACAGTGTCGTAAGCATACTCTATACTCTGACAGAGCACGCTGTTTCAATTAATGAAAGCGCGCGTTATATCCGAACTTTACTATAAACAAGATTAAGTAATTAAATCTGAATAACCCACAGGATTTGAACCTGAGGATTTACGATTTCGCGGTCGGTGGTTTACCACTGAGCTTAAGAAAACTCGTGAAATTTGAATTGGATGGTGGTAAACAACAGATTTTGAGCGTGGATGGAACAAAACTACTTATTCTAAAAAGCTCACCTAGAGGTGATCCCTGCTTGTTTGGCTGCCTGTTGTTGAGCGAATCTTTTCTCGGCTGCAAGGGCCCGCTACAAACAAAGAAAAGTAACATAATGAATAGCGAACTGATGAGTATTAGATTCCCCGCCCCTATCCAATGGGTCCTTAATTATGTCTGACGAGGAGAGAGAAACGATAGCGACTCTTTCTACGTCATTTCACGTTATTACAGCAACCCAGACACGAGGGCTGTATACCCGATTGGTACGAGTGCTTCAGTGTTGACCATACCCTAAGTTTTCCAGTTTTCTTGTTTTCAGACTCTCCTTGACCTTTTTCCACGAAATATTTTTTAATGTCTATCATGAATAGTGGTCGAGATCATCTAAGGAAGATGTTTCTTAATTTGTTATTGTGAAAAAAAATATTTTTAACCATCCTCCACGCGTTTCTCATGACCTTAACCCATTAACTCCCAAGATCTGATTGTCAATTCTCCCCTCTAGCTGTTACAGATTTCCTTGTAAACTAGTTATGAGAACTTGGTGTTAGATGATGATTACAAAAATCTACCCGATGAGTTTGAGTATTCTCATCACCTGTTTGCCGGATAATGTAAGGGAAATTACAGGGAGAAGTTTTATGTTTATCTCTAATGGGAAGTAAAGGGTTAAGTAGCATCCATAACTTCTCAAGTCTTAAAAATGATGTCGTTCATTTTAATCCTTTTTATTTTTTCGTTAACCCTACCTTCTCTCGGTCGCTTAAAGCTTGATATGCTCTCTTTTCTTTTTCCTCCTCTTCTTTCTTTCGCTCGATAGCCTTTTGTTCCTTTAAATATAAATCAGCCATTATTCAATACATTATGTACGTCTCCTAAGTTTCGCCTTGTTAATAGCTTTCAAACCATACAGGATAGATTTCGTCAATAGTCAAACCACTCGACTATTCCTTAGAGTCGCGTGATTAAAAACGGTTCTTTTACTAAAAACCACAACTTGATCGCAAAACAGCCATTACTGGATAAGACAGGTGATCTCTTCATTGCTCTACCTTGGCCCTCTGTTTTTGCGCCTTTTTCTGCGCTTTCTTTCTTTCTGCATTCCGTTTCTCCTTTTCACTTTCCATTTCTGGTGTAAGTGCACTTGGAATCTAAAACAAAACAAAAAAAAAGTAACAAAAACAACACATCAAATAACGGAATTAAGAAAACCCCGTAATCCACACAATCAAACAAATCATGTGAATATTATCGATGGTCGTTTCGCAACTAGCGAGAGACCCAACTTCTTTCTCTTTCACAAAAATTCCCTAGGACGCCTTATTCGGGTAAGGTATCAACAACTGTTATAGGATTTTATACAGCATAAAAACCAACCACGAACGAAAATGGCAGGTGCATCAGTCGGGTGCACCCCAATAAATGGCCTAGAAGAGAGCGAATCGTGAGGTAGGCGTTCAATCCTACGCTGAGTCACTGTGTTTCGGTCGTTTAGGCACTCTTAAATTGGAAAAATCGTTTTCATACATGACGTCACGGCGGCCATATTGGTTATAACACAACAGAATGGCGGCGGCCATATCGATGTCCGAGTCATTCCTGGGGGAATTGAAGTCTTCTCTTATGTGAACAGTTTTTTTTTTAAAACATTTACAAAACTGCTCACCACGTGATCGAAAATGTCATGTTTGAAACCTGTCGGAGTGTTGGAATAAAAATGCCATGGACTGTCATTCTCCTATTCGCCAGAATAGGTTTCGGCAACCATGTGTTGGACAGTCTCGTGCGTAGACTTGCCCTTTCATGATACAACAAAAGAATCACTGAAGACACCGGGCTTTTCACAAAACATACCTGTGCTTTAACATAATCATAACGATCTGGGTGGCAAGCCATAAACCGTCGGAATTCATTCCGTGTTTCTTTGTCGCCGGCGACGGCATATGGAGTCCTCCCCTTTTCATCCCTGACGATAAACACAGCAATTGTTATCTCTTCGTGGTGCATTTTTCGGGCTTAAAGAGAGTTTTTGACGGCCAAATATGCATTTTAGCCCAACCGCAAGTTCGCGTGATTGTTCGGACTGTATTGTTTGCAATTTTTTCAGTTTTTGTTTTATCAATGCCCTTCAAAGTGAGGTAATGGTAATACATGATCTTCACAGTTATGATAAGTAGTAATGTAGTTCATGTTCTTGCGTATAATGGTGTTTTGGGTTGTTCTCAGAGTCGTTTTAATCCTCTACCATTAGTTCGGACTCAAATGACTCTGAGTAGGGGCTGATTCATCTTAGGCCCGCGAACATAAACTCTACTATTTTATTAATCAGATCAGGTTTACCCTGATCTGATTCAGATCATCTCGATGCTTCACAAATCCTAATCTCTCTAGTTGGTCAGTGGTGGTATTCTCAGAACCAACATACAACCTTCTAATAAAACATATCAAGGGTACGCTACTTGTCCATCATTAGAGCCACTTACTTCACAGCAGGATCAGAACCACACTCCAGCAGCCGCAACACAATTTCCCTTCGTGACGAGCGTGATGCTACGTGAAGAAGCGTGTCACCTCCTTCGCCAAACTGTTCATTGATAACGTCCAAAATCCTTGCGGAGGACAATTCTCCGTTCCGCGATGGAGAATCTTCAAATTCATTACTAATCCCTGAACTTGCCAGTTCCTCGATTGTATCAGTTTTCGTGCATTTTACACTCCTATTAGTATTAGAGTCAGTTTTCAAATCATCACTTGTCTTATTTCCTTCATCCTCACTTGTTACCGAATCGTTAATTTCGATTTCTAATACACCAGACTTCGTAGTTTCCTCCATACCCTCATTTTTTCCTTGGAGTACGCTTGCTGACTCAGTGTTTATACAAGCTTTTCCGTTGCTTTGGACACTTCCGCCTCGAAGTGAAGATATTACTGCTATATTTGCAGACACAATGGCGCAGTAAAGCCGATTCCATGAGCGCCTCTCTGGGGAAACTGAAAGAAAAAATATAAAATTATATCAATCACAGCATGTAAACAACCCTGATTTTAAGGCAAACATTTATTCACACAGTCAGTATACACTACCATGCAGAGAGAGTGAAAGAAAAGAGTTATGAGCCAGAGTAGGGATGGGTATCGAATGATGTGACGCTGGATTCTCCGATTTAACCTTTTTCACCCAAACATCAGTATGCATACTCTCTATACTGTTCTCTAAACATTTCCTAAGGTTCTGACAAGGAGAATTTGTCTTACAATCAAGAACTTTTTTCATAGGTGATCAGTTCCTTAATTCTCCTGACCTAAATGTTAGATTCAGTAGTGATATGGTATGGAGAAATTAGATGCCAGTCACTCTTAGGGGTTAAAGGGTTAACATACAAGGAAAAGTAAGCCAGGCAAAAAAGGTGAATATTGACCATTTACACCTTAACGTCAATATGCATCTTTTCCCAACTATTCTCCATAGAATTCCCGTGGTACTGTCAAGGATAATTTTGTTAACAAACAAGAGCTTCTTTAGATGGCACCAGATCGTTTCCTTTACTCTCAAGACCTTTCTATCTCAGCCGAGGATTATAATTCAAGGAGAAATTAGCCAGTTGTCAATCCCGGAGGCTACAGGGTTGAGTCCGATGTAGGAATAGAGCTAAAACGCCTCCACACTAACCTTCTGCATTTTGAAGCCCATCAATGGACTCCTTCTTAATATTTTTTGCTTTCTTCTTTTTCGTTTTCTTCGGCGCTTCTTGAACTTTTGTTGTAGAACCTGAATCAGGCTGACCTTCATCACTGCGTTCAAGTGAAATGTTTCGTTCTTGAGAGTCAATTGCTACCTCATTGTCGCTGGCGACGGCCTGACTTGCCTGCCATGAACGAATTTTATCGCCATCGTCAACTGCTGGTACATTTTCCTTTGCTTTATTATGAGTTAAATTCATTAGAAGGTCTTGTAGTTCTACATCACTGTCCTTCCCTATGATAACAAGAAGTATTTGTTCCTTAAATGTCTTGAGCCAAATGCGCAACGACAAATTCTTATCAATTATAAGAGGGAAAAAAAAAGTCTCACCCAGCAACTGCACGCTGGATAACTCCTGATGAACTCGCTTCACTTCGTTGAATGTCGGTCTTCTGGTTGCGAATGGGATCGTTCTGATGCGCGCATCATCTAAAGTAAGAAGTTGACCCTTTAAATCCCACCAGCGACCAAGACAGAATTTCTTCTTACAATATCAAGCAGATAAGTGATGAGAATAACGAAAAATATTAATTAGGGGATTGATAGTTGATCTAATACCAAAATCTCTTAATTCACATCGTAAGAATTGTATGGCAGAAGTAACGAGAATTTTTTAATAAGTCGCAACGGTTGCTTGTTTGTTCATATCGTTTCACTCACAAGTGGAAATCTTACTTTGGACCGTACCTTTCTTGAAAGGTGGTTTTCTTCCTCCAAAGAACATCGCTTTGTTATAAGCTGGTGTTCGAATGAAAATCCTGTGGCATTTTTCCACGTGCTGTGACCACGCCTCGAGGAGATCCTGAACCTCCTGTTTATAAGAATTATGCACAGTTCAATGTACAGTCCCGTTCTATTGGTCATGATAGTTGATGATAGTTTAAACTATCACGCGTATTGGAACACGAATTTTCATGCACAATCATCGACTATCTTGGACCATCTGTAGTTTGGACAAGTTCAAATACATTTTCTGAAGTCATGACAAGGAAAATTTGTTAAACAATCAAGAACTTCTTCAGCTGATAATCATTTCCTTTATTCTCGTGATCTCGTGATCTTAATGTGTGATTCTGGGTGATAATGTACGGAGAAATTAGACGCTAGTCACTCTTAAGGAATCAAAGGGAATACCTAGAGAATGTGTAGCAGCAGCCAGTGGAGAGAACACTAAAAGTCAGATCTCGGGAGCGGGAGATAAGGTTGATTGGGGGGAGGGGGGGGGAGGCGTATAACAAACTCACCTGGAAGAGGGCAGCTTCATTATGTCTCCTTAAACTAGCCCCGGCAGACCTGTGCGTGGACAAATAAAAGGTATATAATTCACCAACATGATTCTATCACTATGATACTGTACAAATTAATAATCGCTAAACCATTGATTGCATCATCGATCAGTACGAACATTTTTTTCCAAGAAAATAAAAAAGTGCACAGTTGTACAATCTAAACTTGCCCCTTAACGATAACTAAACAGTTTCACAGCCAACTGAGATACATCGGTTATTAAAAATATCTCCTCTAGCACTCATTGGGAAGGTATTTATTTATTTTGTGCCACACTTGCGACAAAATTTCGGCATCTTTCTTCATTATGGTGGCCACGTTAAAAATTTACCGTCATCTCTCTGACTCTATCTTTAACAGGATGATTATGACATCGGCTAATTCCACAAGTGTGCAAGAACACAGGGCTCTGATCTGACCAACATGGTCTGCGTAGCTCAGTTGAACGAGCAGTATTAGATCTGACCACAGAGTGAAAACTGGTTGACGTTCCAATTTTTACAACATAAACACACATTACACTTTTGCCTCGTACTTGTCACACCTTCCTTCAGCTCTTTGTATCAGATTAATCAACCCTTCACTTACTTTGGTTGCTTCCCGCCTTGCTGTGAATCTCTGGCACCCTGCGCTGTTCCTCGTTTTGCTCTGACTGTATATCGATGGAATGTTTTGTGGATCAAAACTTCGTTTCCTTTAAAAACTGCTCCAGCAAAATGGCCACCAGCCGTCATCAACACAATCCAGTAACATTTCATTGTTAGACTTGTTAACAGTGACAACGTGTCTTCTGGAGTGGTTGGGATGTTCTGATTGGACAAAAATAGGAAAAAAATATGAATTAAAATCAATTAAAACATTTCTTAGAAAGATAAATCTAAAGAGTGAAAACCTATGTCATCGATAATTATTGCAAGTTCAAAGAAAATTCAGATTATACAATTTCAAAATAAGTTGATTTGTGTTTCCCTTTGTTTAAGAAGTATCAATGGTAATTTAACTGGAACAAAGCAGTTGAAGAAGAATGCAAAACACAAATACAAAACTTAATTTGAATGTCACTTTGTCCTAAATTCAATTGATAAAAAAAGAAGATATGATTTCAACTGAGCAAGTGGTAACAATTCTTTGGCCATGCTAGGCCACAAACTTGGATTTTCTGTACACTTGTACCACTGAGGTTCCTTAGAGGAGAGCAAGAGATAATAACCAGGGACCCATTTCCTTTCACAAGGCATATTTTGTGCCTTTTTGATCAACTATTTTAACCCTCCTTACAGTATCATCCTTGAAGAAAATGTAAATGTCACAAGAATTGTGGAAATGATCACTAATTTAAGAAGCTCCTGATTGTCAAACAAATTCTCCTTGCCATTACCACAAGAATGAAGAGAGATCAGTGTGGAGAATATGAATACCAATGTTAAAGTGTAATTGGTTCAGCAGGAGAGGCAGTGAGAAATTAGTAAGTTCACACAGGGGACTCAATGTCAATATGTACCATGGGTTTGACACTTTTCCTATCACTATGTTGTATTCTTGGGCAAGACATTTACCTCTAGCTCTGCCTCTCTCACCCAAGATTGTTCAAGGGTTCCTGCACACTGCCAAGAAAGCCTGACAAAATGCTGGGGGCAGGGGGAGGGGATGATGAAGGGGAGGGGAAGGGGAGGGTAAGCTGCAATGGACTAGAATCTCATCCAAGGGGAGTGGCAGTATTTCTTAGCTTGTCATTCCATGCTACAGAGACCAAATAATAAGCTTTAGCACCTTATGGATCACTTGGCTTGTCTCTACCCAGGTATTTGCCCTATTCTCAAATAAGAACCAAGTCTCAGGCTGGAAATCCCTTAATATGCTGCTGCTTCCATGCACCACATACAGTTTAAAAGGCTGAGTAACTCAGCTGAACTCCTTACAAATAAATTTTGTCACCATAATGACAATGATAATGTGCCACACTAAAAACAATGAAATTTTACCTGAATGGAATACAAAACACTGCGATAAACTGACATCACTTCTCCATCTCCATTCACAAAAAAAACCTTTGGGTGTTGCCGCCTAAGACTTGTGTGTGTCTCACTGTTAATATTTTGCTCAGGCAGGAGACTGTTGATGGACGGTTTACTGCACTGACTTGATTCTAGCATCAAATCACCATCATCATTGTCTGTATCACTGTCAGAACCAGAAATACTTGATACCTCTCCTAAAATGTGAAAAAAAAAGAAAAAAAATATATATATATGTGTGTGTGGATTAAAAATTCTTAATAAGCCTAATTTTATTTAAACCCATACACTTTAACATCAGAATTTTTTAATCCTTTCACTCCCACAAGTGACCAAGACAGAATTTCTCCTTACAATATCAATACAATATCAAGCAGGCAGGTGATGAGAATAGAGAAGAATATCAATTATGGGATTATTAGTTGATCCAATACCAAATTCTCTGAGCTAACATCATAAGAATTGTATGGCAGATAGTAAGGAGAATTACTAATTAGATCTTGGGAGTGAAAGGGTTAATAATCAAGAGCTTCTTTCTGATCATTTCCTTTGTTCTCATGGTCTTTTTGTTTGATTCAGGGGTGATATTGTAAGGAGAATTTAGAAGCTAGGGGTTAAGCTCAAAGAGTGACTAAACCTAATTTCTAATTGAGGTATCACTGCTGAATCCAACAATGAGGTCACAAGAATAAAGGAAATGATATCTAGCCAACTAAAAAAAAAATCTTAAATGGTGAAATAAATTATCATTGTTCATACCATAAGAAATGTCTGGAAAAGCAAGTTAAAGAAAATGCAGACTGATATTATATTAGGGCGTAAAAGATGAAAAAAAAACAACAACAACACTGCCGCAGTCATGCCAAATTAAGATGTGATTCTTTTAAAATTGCATAGACACAATAATTAAATAAAATTTAAGTAGTATGTCATTAGCCCTTAGATTGCCTTCACTGACACCCAGAAGAACACCAGAAAAATACATGTCAATTGTTGTAGTGTACTAGCCCAAGGTCCAAAAAAAGACAAGATTAGTAAGACAAGATCAAGATGGTGGTTTTAATAATCTGCAAAAAATTCAACGTCATGTACAAATCCAAATGTGGAAAACTGGTTGCGTAACATTGGGTACTAGAAAATTAAATTCCATTTAGGAAATAAATGTACAATTATAATAACATACCTGAAATAGTTTCCTCAAATGCCTCCTCTGACATAATAGGCTTGTCTAGAATTTTCTGCTTCAAGTTAAATCTATGCCAATCTAACTTGAAATGCTCTCTCTGCCAAATAAAGAAAAAATTTCCTAGTAAAAAATGTGTATATTGCATTAGTTGTTACTTCACTCAATTTTCCACAGAGAAAAATTATTTTCTCACTAGACTCTCAATTGAAAGTTTGTGAATCAAGCTCTAGCCTATTTGAGTTACAATTTAATAATAATGTAAAATAATAATGATCTTATTAACAGTATTTCCACCAAGAGGCTCTTTATCCATTAATATATAGCTAAAATTAATTAATTACGGTTGGAACAAATCGAAGAAAAGCTAAAGTAGGATAAATAAAATGAGATACATGTCCTACAGTTGAATTACCGGTGAAAACTGTATAATTTTTTTAAGCAATTATGGTTAATTTTTTTAAGCAATTTAGACTGTTATATGGTCAGTTTTTTCTGTTTTTATTTTCTCAATGCCCTCCAAACTGATGATAATAATAACAATTCTTGTTTGGGGTGAACATGTTTTGGACCCAGTTCACACTCAGAGTCATTCTAACCTAAATTGCAAACATGAGTCCGAGTCAGGCTCATGATCTCTTTATGCTTGCCCCTGGACCAACATAAACTCTATTACAAACATAACCCTACAAACATTACACCACTGATGTTGCTGATCCTAGCAGTATGCAGTACATGTGTCATATAACCTTCATAATAGACCTCACTTAGCATGAAGTATATGTGGCTCAGTGGTAGAGCATCAGAGCGCGGAATCCGAAGGTCTGAGATTCAATTCCTCATGGAGACTCAGAATTTTTCTTTGTCCCATGCTTGTGACAAAACAAAAACATCTTTCTCTATGAACTCTATTGTTTTAATGACAGCCTATTGCATTTTCATGCCAGATAACTGTATTTTAAAATAAGGGAAACATTTAAAATCAAAAACCAATCATGGCCATGAATAATTGCATACACTAGTTCTCAAAAAAATCTTAAATCAAATCATATTACCTGAATATCAACTGAGTCAAAAATTACTTGGCAAATGGAGCAGCTCATTCCAAGTTTCTCTCCAGCATATGATTCTGTGATACCAAAGCAAAAGATTATAAAACTACATTTCTTTCATCACACTTGAATCATTATTCAGTCTGAATAATTAACTCTTAAACTCTCAGAGATGATTGACCAGTAATTTCTCCATAGAATATTAATTCACTGTTTTGCAAACAGGTGATGAGAAGACACAAATGTAGACACCAAATTCCGTTAGCCAATTTAAAAGGATTTTACCAGCTAGAAAAGGAGATCAGAGATTAAGATTTAAACGATTACTAGCCTAGTTACTTCGTTTTGTCATTGGCAATACCTGTTCATCGTTTCAAACGAGCGAATATTAATTAAACTATGAGTTCGCCGATGTGTTAGCGAAACTCTTCAGTTACAAAGTAGAGCTAAAATTACCATTTTTCCTAATAAGTTTCTTTTCCATCACTTGCTCTTGTTTCTCATCGCTGTCTCCACTTTTAAGATCGTTGCCGATAATGCGAACATTTCGCAGGAAGTCACTCATTAGTTCTTCGTCAAAAACTGACACAGCAGACGACCTTGCTTTAAATGCCATTGATTTAACGTAAAAAAAAAAGAATTCCTCGAGAATTCGACCTACTGAGCAATCAAATCAATTTGGTTATATAGATGTCTCTTCCTTATCGAACTGTAACGATTCGCAGAATCACTGTGGCTTTTATATCGGTCCTTCCCCCTCATTGCACCACCACATTTGGTAACCAAAATCTATTTTTGGTGGCGGACGTAAGAATGTGGCACGGCTTCGTTTGACAGATTTCTAGTTATCAGCTCTTACATGTCTCTTTTTTTTGCTGGTACCGACTATTCTACGATGTAGTTAGCACAACATCGACTTTGTTTACGATTTTGTAACCAGAAATATTACTAAATATCAAATCTGAACTTGTTTGGCCGCCATCTTGAAAAGTTCTAATTATGTTAGGCCCCAAGCCTAACCGTGAGGGTGAGTGAGAGTTGCTCCCAGGGACCGAGTTTTACCGCGGCAAGAGGTACAAATGAGTAGTTTCTAAGTTGGTCCATTTCCCAAAGTGGAAGAGTATTGCATTAACATAATTACTAATTAACCAACCGTCAAGCGATGTTATCGAGATAAACATAAACATTATTATACACCTCATAACTTCTTATATGTGAAGGATATAGTGTAAAGGGTAAATCAAGGAATTTTATCGCTGATTTTTTTCGCGGTCGTTCTTTTTCCTCAACGTTTAACTAAAGCCAAGCAGAACCGTACAAACTTAAAGATTTTCCTCTGCGCATGCATTATCCCCACTATCTAAAGAAACTGTGGTGCAAATTATTTAAATTGGCCACCGTAAAGAGAGAGCGTCCACAGCTGACGCTTAATTAGCCCTTCGTCAGAGCGAACAGAGGAATTTTGGGTTGAGTGTATGTATGTATGCAGAAAAATGGAGCCACGCTATTGGTGGGAACATGGTAACGAAATAAACAAGAATAAATGAGTTTAAAAGACATGCGTAGCGAAATAATTAGGTACCTAGAAAGCCATCCACTTCCTAATGATATAGGTGACCGTTTAAAGAAGATTTAGTAAACAGTACACATCGGAGATAAATTTGGGGGATTTGGTCAGAGACCGATTATTAAGCAATGCGTAATATAACTGAAGTTGGAGCCATTGTTCATTTTCATGCAACTGGCTAATTTTGATCGAGTGACCTCGGTAACGCACAACTTTATTAACGAAGAGTCAACTAATTTCACTAAATAATGATATGAAAACCGCGCGCATAGCATCAATTTTCTTTTGTTTAGTTGATTAGCCTTTGTGACGTCAATAAACAAAGACACGTTTAAACCTTTCTCGTTATCTGCGACTGTGTCTTTCGTTTTGGTGTGGCAGGATTTATTGCTGAAGTCAAATCATGCTCATCATTTTCCATTTCGTCTTTTTTAGGAAAAGATGACACGGAAAACATTGAGTATGATGACATGGAAAACGATACTTCAAGCGACGGAGTAGAAAAGGTATATCTTGACATGCTTAATTTAGCTATGCCAGAGTTTTTGGAAAGCGAAAAAACACACCAACATGACTATCGAATTTAGCACGGTATTAGCCACTGAAAATGCATTTTTTCCTCATATGAGGCGAAAACAAAATGTATGTTCACAACACTCTTTACAAGGATATCTATAATTTGTAGCCAAGTACAGACTCTCAGTATAGTGTCATTGTCAGAAATGAATTTGAACATGATCTTCGCAGTGTTGAACACTACTTAAGCAGTAGTGAAAATAAGGCCTGAAAAATATTTAGGTCTATACGAGATTTGAACCCATGACCTCTGCGTTTCCAGTGCATTGTTAATGTTTGGTACCGGGCAAATCACAATGACATGCATATGTTTGTTTCCTCTTTCCACACAAGTGATCCAAGTGTATGAATTTGAAAGACGGGATGACAGTAGTTGTAATCCTGAGGTGTACCGATATACGAGAGCCAGTCAGGAAAGAGGTACTTCCTATAACTTTGAAGTGTGTCCAGATAGATTTCAGAAGACCATAATATTATTGCGTTTAAACTCTTTTACTTTTCAAGAAAGGTAGATTAAGCCTCCACATTTTGTTCTAAGTCAACAGATACATTAATGACTTTGGAAGAACAATCCACCAAATGTGCATTGGCTTATGCGGGGAATTGTACTTCTAGTGTTAATAATAATTGCTGCTTTGCAAAAATGTGTTAACAGGAGTCGACTGTATAGCAAAGAGCAATGTCAAAAATAGTTCTTTCTTTCAAATGGTTGATTATAAAGTCATAGTTTATTGGAAGACGAAACTCTTCGTCTTGTGTATTTTCACAGGGGTATCAAAGGGAGCAAGTCAAAACCCTTAAACGGTTTTTTCGTTTTCTCTCTTTGTTGTCCCTGTGACTAGACTATTCCGTCTGCCACCTCATCATGGGGTTGGAGTTTCACTTTTCTTTTTTTTTTTTTAAGAACTTAGTTTTTCTTGCATTGGGTCATTTCTTTATCTAATAAAGGACAACCAATTCCCCCATCATCTTCAATCTCCACACGGAAATTAAAATGTTTAATATCAAAACTGAGATAAAAGCAGTCTTCGTAAAATGAGCTTCACGATCCTATTTAGATGTGACTGAGGAGGAATGATATCCTAACGAGCTTCTTGCAAAAAACAGCTTCTCTACGGAAGACTTTTCCAGGTAAAGAAGTGCAAAGCAAAAGGAAATATTTAATTGTTTAGAGTAACGACGAGCCACTAGGCCAAGAGCGGCGGCGGATGCAATCATACGGTCCTCCACAAATGCTTTCGGTGGAGGCACCCTCCCCCGGCCTCCCCCACAAGGAGTAACACTTCCCCCATCATGATGCAATGGGGATATGCTAAAACTGTCAGATCAATCACTTGTAAAAAAAAACAACAACAAATGGGCAGCATTACAGCGCCTTGAATAAGAGTTGCAATACGAACTCCAAGCCAATCATAGCGACTGATAAGATAGAGGAAAAGGCCAGCAGTGAGAAGTAATTAGGGTATATAAAAATAACCCTTGCCTCAAGCGCGGGAAAACGAGAGAAATGTGTTTAAGTTTGGATTAATCTAATTGGTTGAGCAATTAGCGCAAGCTTTCTGAAACTACCGCGTAGCATAATGAAGCAAAACCTAAGTAACTTTAACATTAAGATTATCTTCGTTCGCCAAGCTTTAAGTTACAAGAAAGAAGTATCATTGACCGTGATATTTTTTTATTTTTCTGGAAACGTAGATTAACCCTACATTTGTTTCTCACGCACTGGATCGTGTATTGACAGTGGAAGAAATTAAAATGAATATTTCGACTTCTCACAGGTGTCAACTTCCGAAAGTTGTCTATGTGTATGAGTCCCAACACCAGGGATGAGAAAGATTCGGCATGGCAGAATTATTCTCACCATGGGTATCGGGTTCATCCAATTTTAACATTTCTAATTTTTCATAAAGAGTTAATAAAGTCTTCATTTCGTTCTGAAGTAAAGGATCTATTGCCCAGATTAAGTTGGGTGGCAATGTTTGGTACGATGACTGTAAATATATATAAAGATCATTTATGTAAACTGCGGTTTAAGAAATGAATTTGTAAGTGATCTTTGCGGTGTTGGACACTACTTATTAAGCAGCAGTGAAAATAAGGCCTGAAAAAGATTCAGGCCTGTACGGGATTTGAACCCATGGCCTTCGCGTTTAAGGCGCAGTGTTAATGTATGGTACCGGGCAAATCACAACGGCATGTTTGTTTCCTCGTTCCACACAGGTGATCGAAGTGTATGACTTCGAAAGACGAGATGATAGTAGTTGTAATCCAAAGGTGTGCCGATATACGAGAGCCAAACAGGAAAGAGGTACTTCCTATAACTTTGAAGTGTGTCAGGATAGATTTCAGAAGACCATGATATTATTGCGTTTACACTCTTTTACTTTTCAGGAAAGGTAGATTAAGCCTTCACATTTTGTTCTTATTCAACGGATATATTATTGACTTTGGAAGAACAATCCACCAAATGTGCATTGGCTCATTCGGGGGATGGTACTTCTAGTGTTAATAATAATTGTTGCTTTGCAAAAATGTGTGAACAGAAGTTTTCTCTAATTATGCTAAATAGTTGGAGAAATTTACCGCTTTCAGGTCAAGGAGTACAACATGCGAATGCCTGAGAGGAAATAAGCCTAAATCTGAAAAATTAAACCACGATACCACACGGTCATGATTGAGCCTCAGTGTGAAAAGATTAAGTTCAGTCGACTCTCGCCCTGAAGACTCCTCGCTATTACAGACATCCCCTTCATTAATTGCAAACAAGCGCCAGCCCCCTGGCAAAACGCATAACCAAATGACTGAAACTGACACTCCCGTTCTGATGGACATTCGCTCTTTTGGAAATGTGGACACTTTCATGCCCCCCCCCCTCCCCCCTGCGCAATATTTCACTTTTTTTTCTCTCTCGCTATTGCGTACACTTAAGTACTTCGTCCAAAATCCTGACTCGCTTAATCCAAAGCGACATTAGGATGAAGAAAAATAAAGAGACCATTCTTTAATTAGGTGAGAACATGAGAATTTCCTGCTTGCGGCCAAATCTTTCTCCGGTTCGTGAGGCCACGTTACAAACTTTATCGTTGCGTAGTTACATATCAATTCCATATTTTTGAAGACAAAACAATGTATTTATCTCTCTTGCCCCGCGATTACGGCCTCTCGCTAGTTGGGACACTAAATCTCCCCCTGCGGGTGTCTGCAATAACAGAAGTCAACTGCACAGCAAAGAAAAATAGTTCTTTCTTTCAGAATGGTTGATTATAGTAGCAGTTTACTGAAAGATGTAAACTCTTCGTCTTGTGTATTTTCACAGGGGTATCTAAGGGAGCAAGTCAAAACTCTTAAACGGTTTTTAATTGCCCTCTTTGATGCCCCTGTGATTAGATTATTTCGTCTGCCACCTCATCATGGGGTTGGAATTTCACTTTCCTCAGATTGCATGAATCTTTTTTTAAAGAACTTGGTTATTCTTGTATTGGGTCATTTCTTTATCTAACAAAAGACAACCAATTCCCCTTTCATCCCCCATCTCCACCCAGAAATTAAAATGTTTAATATCAAAACTGAGATAAAAGCAGTCTTCGTAAAATGAGCTTCACGATCCTATTTAGATGTGACTGAGGAGAAATTATATCCTAACGAGCTTCTTGCAAAAAATAGCTTCTCTACAGAAGACTTTTCCAGGTAAAGAAGTGCAACGCAAAAAGAAATATTCAATTGTTAAGAGTAACGACGAGCCACTAGGCCAAGAGCGGCAGCGGATGCAATCATGCAGTCCTCCACAAATGCTTGCGGGGAGGCATCCTCCCTCCCCCACAAGGAGTAACGCTTCCGTTGCTCCTCAGGGGGAGGGTGCGGCTGCACTTAGGCAATAAATCCCCTTCAAAGCCATCTCCCGCTAAGGTTCCGTCCCAGGCCACCAGGTAAGTACAGAGCACAACCTTAAGTATCGGAGCAGCTTAAGATCAGTCATACACACTAACATGCTATAGCTACTGAATCTTAATACATCGTGGCTTCTTAGATCTGAATACAATAACATTGGCAGTCTAAAAAAAAAACGAATTGGTGATTCAACGCAATGGAGAACTGTTAAGCGCAACACGATGCAGAAGCATCCCAGCTCGGCTCAGAAGAGAGAGGCGCAACGCAACCACGCTCAAAAGGAATGCGAAGCAATGCAACGCAACTTTTTTTCATGAAGCTGATTTCTCTAGTTTCATTACCATGCAAGAGGTTTGAATACAGCATAATGCAACTTGCTTATTCAACGCAATACAGAACTACTTGGCTTTAACACAGTGCGGTGAAGAATTCGCAGAAAATTTGACCGGTTTAGTTCGCAGGAAATTTAAATGGTCAATCGATTTGCAAAAGTTTAATCACATGAGAAGCAGGACCTAAGGCGTTCGGTGGAAAATCGCATAAAAAGCTTTAGTGCTAATCTGTACCTCAGCAATCGTGCGCGCAAAATAAATTAATGAATTTTACAATTCAAAATTAGAACAATGAGTGTGCGTCAATCACCCCTACAAACGCGAAGCAAGAATATGTTTTCAGCAGGAAATGTCGAGGGAAAATTTATTCGTAAATAAGCATGCATTAACAGCTACTAAACGTACTAGAAAGTAATTACAAGACTGGTTCGAAAATCACTGTAAATAAAAAGATAGGTTTCGAAATATAAACTGAAGAAAAGTTTGCATTGTAATTTTGAGCCCGATAACGTGCCGTAGTAAAGGATGCTTAAGAATTTGACCAACAACAGAAAATCATGAAATTACTACCCATTTTATTACTGTTGATCCTATCAAAAGTTTTTCCTAAAATGTTAAGCATAAAAATATCTCTGTTTACGTAATAAGACCGCATCATCGTTCCAAATATTATTACAACCCGTGTTTATCACGTTACAAATACAATTATTTTCGTTTCCATAAATATTAGAATTACACTATCGCAAAACCCCTTCAGAGTTTATCACCTCACTAACTATTTCACATTTTTTGTTTGTAGTTCACCTTAGGAGAATTTCTTTATATCTTATTGTAATTACTAAGTAAAATTTAATACAAGTCCTCACCAAAAATAAATTTATCTTATTTAATTGGATTAGCAGCAATTGAATTTCCAATTTGTCTGCAGTCGTATCTTCGTTGAAAATATTCATTTCACCCATTACACCCTAACATCAGTATCCATATTCGTTATACTCTAATCTAGTTGAATCTAATGACAAGGGAAATTTGTTTAACAATCCAAGCTGGTGATCATTTCCTTTATTCTCGTGATCTTAACGAATGACTCAGCTGTATTACCGTGAGGAGAAATTACAAGCAGGTCATTCACCGGGTTTAAAGGATTCACACAACTTTAAATCGTTCTTATCTATAGCCGAGAACTGAGGATATCTAAAACTTGCTTCTTTGTCTTGACGTACGAGGGTAAAAAGTCCTTATATTTCGCAGTCCAGTCGTCGTAAACCGCATCTGGCAAAATTTGCTTTGATGTCATGGGTCGCACAGGTCCATCAATCACAGGTGTTTCCACGAAGTCCACAAAACAGCCCTTGGGGTCCTCACAAGGAGCGTTATCTAGTTCCAAGAGAACAACTTCGGTTACCTCCTTACCCGAATTAAGGATGCTCGCTGGGACATACAGGGTGATCTGGGGTCCAACCACTGGCCAATAACGTCCAATGTTGAATCCATTTACAAAAGCCTGACCCTGGCATGTAAAAGCAAGATAAAAGATGAGAAAACTTTTAGGAGTGATTAACATTTGACTTTTCCGTACGCTGATAAAAAAAATTGAGAAGCACTGACAACATATACATAATATATTAAGAGAGATGATAAGTTTTTGAGCTCGGTAAAGAAATAAAGAAATATGTTTTTGGCCTTGCTACGAGCGTGGGTCAGAGAAAAAATTCTGAGTCCCCATGAGAATAGAACCTAAGACCTTCGGGTTCTTCGTGACAAGACGAAGAACATCTTTAGGAACGCGGAATCCGAAGGTTTGAGGTTCGATTCCTCATGGGAACTCAGAATTTTTTCTTTGTCCCACGCTCGTGACAAGACGAAAAACATCTTTCTTAAACATATATATATATAGAAAGAGGGAAGGAGTGACTGCAAGGACACTCTGCGCTTTCAATCTACCCACAACTGCAATCAGATAAGTGTGGGAACGAGGCTAAAGGTGTTTCTCAACCTTTGCAAATAAATACTGCGTCTTTTAAAAGACATACGCGAATAAACTAACTAAATACACACTTTGCATTTGTTCTAAGAGGTAGGCAACTGTCTATCTCACCTTAAACCAACCAGGAAGTTTGAGAAACGTGTCCATTGGGATACCTTCTGGTGCAGGGGGAATGTTCCCATGATAAAACGATGGGATTTGAACACTACTTTTGCTTTTGAGCTTGATCAATGAAGACTTTTTACGACCAACAAAATCGTCTAGGTGCAGTGGGTATATGGTCCAGTTTCTGAGGACCGCACCGTTAAGGGTCACATTTCCAAGGATCCCTTTTGGGTCTTGTAAATGGGGGCCGTAGTTAACCCGGCCCATGTTTTCCACCAGGATGTCCAAGGTTGCGCCTTCTTTAACTTCTATGGTGGCATTGGTCTTTCCACCTACTCGAATAAGTGTCGCTTGACGGACCTACACAGATAAGAACTTCTCAATAAATATATCAATTATTTATTTATTTATTTATTTTCATTTATTGCTTGTTAAAGAGTTGCCTTGCTGAACCTCTGGGCACACGGAGAACAATCTCCTTAAAAGACGCATTGCGTCAGAATGAGGTAAAGTTTGTGATGACGGAAACCCAGAAATAACCCTGGTTAAAGTTACTACACTTCCGTTTTTATCACGATTCTTTCGCTTTTCTTTCCAATTCATTCATCTTTTAAATACTACTCGTCTTTCTTGTAACCAAAAAGAACAAATTTCGAAGCAACGCGTAATTATGTGACCTAAATGGCAGAATGTGTGTAGAAAATTCCAAGTTCACTTAACTCGCATTTTCAAAGGAATGCATTACGCTGAAATTGTGAATCAACAACTTTTGTATTACATACCTGGTTCACGAACACAATTCCTCTGTCCCGTAGTCCAGGGATTCCTAGGTCTGCTGCAGGACCACTGACGGGTATAATCGTTCGATACAGGATAAATCCATAGTTTTGCCCGATCTGCTCCATACTCAAAGTATCATTCCTCGAAACAGGTCCAGATCGTGTAAGGAAATGCAGGGCATCAAAAATAGAACTGATCTGCAATTAAATACAAAAGTTATGATCACCCCGAAGAAACACTCTAAGCACTTTTCTACGTGCTGGTCCTTTCAGAAACCATTGCATGACCAATAACTTTGAAATATGATAGGCTGAATTACGCGCGTAATGATGTACATGGAAAAATTACGCACTTCTGATTGGGAGAAAACGAGTGCATTCTCGTGCAACACGAGTGCAAAGTTGTAATGGGTGCAAATTACAAATAGCGCGCGAACGCTACAGACTCGTGCAATTTTGTTGTCATTGAAATTTTATTTGTGCTTATTAACACCAAATTGCAGTCGAAATCATGTTATTACCTATACCAATTTAACTGGTTCCCAGTTATGATCTATTGGAGGACAGATGCATAAATGACGTCACTATTAGCAATTTATTTGCTTCTTTATAACACAAAACAAGTTTCTATGTTACAGTGGGTCTGCCTTCCAGCATCTACTCTAACTCCAAAACCGTAACGTCAACCCAGACAATAGTAACAAAACAAGCAAGGAGAATCTGAGTATACTTACTTTGGTCATATTGACCTTTCCATACGCAAACTTCTGCGTGGGGGGAGGGACAGGACCTGGGGGGACTGTGGTATATTTAGCGATGGTTTCCATAATTACAAAATACTTTGTAGTGGGGTCTCCTGCTTCGGTCAGTGGAGCATCGTAGTCATAGCTGGTAGGCTGTGGTTGGAAGACGCGACTATCTTGATAGCCATTGGCTCCTAAGAGTTTATCAAGAAAGTCAAAAAAATACAACAAATATAGTCGAATCCCTCTCAAAGAACTATTTCTTAATTTTCATCTAAGGATATCTTTCCTGTGTAGGTAGAGAAGACACAAAACTTCTCTTCATGGCAAGAGCACTAGACTCTTTTTTCAAAAGCGTTGTGTCGTTTAGAAGACATTTTAAGCCTCTCTCCGTACCATGGTGGTTTGTTAGAAAAACGTAAAAAAATTGCCAGCTAGTAGTAGACCATGGACAGTCCCTCCTTTCGGAGAGGTCCGTCGTGCGAAACAAAACAAAACAAAAAAATCAGCGACGCGGGGAGCCCTTGGAGTGAGACGCTCGAAAAGTAGCGCCTCCCTTTTTCCCTGATTCTTTTTTACTTGCGGAACGGAATTCGCCGAAGAGGGGGACTGCTCGTATCTACGCCAGCAGACCCTCATTAGCGTTGCAGGACGCGCATCTCTCCGCCTGCGGGGAGATCTGAGACGAATCGGGACAGGTTTGCTGGTAGCTGACTGGCCAGCTACCATGTTTTCCTACATACCATTCATGAAACCAAAGTTGGTGCCACCTTCAAACATGTACATATTAACAGAGGCATTCAGTGCAAGGATTTTGTCAAGGTAAATTGCAAATTCTGCTGCATTCCTTGTCTGGTGTTGCTCAGCCCAGTGGTCAAGCCAGCCAGGATAAAACTCAGAATTCACCAGAGGTCCGTTGGGTTGATATTTTCGCAGGAGGTTAAAAGGAACTGCAGGATCAACTCCTGTAAATAAGAGATATTAGGGTGTTTATCTCTCAATGGGGCAAGAAATAAATATACAAACTCTGATCTAAGGTCAAATCGACTTGAAAACGTAAATCGGCCACCGTAAAGAGTTTAAAAGCTGACGTTTCGAGCGTTAGCCTTTCATCAGAGCGATGGACGAGGGGCTAACACTCAAAACGTCAGCTTTTAAACTCTTTACGGTGGCCAATTTATGTTATTAACTCGGTTGATAAACTAAATTACTGCCCTGTTATATTCTCCCACTGACGCCGGCCGCATCACAGTTTCTTTAGAAACTTACCCCCTTTATTCATAAGGTCAGATTGTTTTGATCTATCGGCAGGGTAGCTCATGCGTTGTGAGGTTAGCAGCACATGAATCACTTACATAGAGGCTAACGACCAGCAAACATGAGAAAACGCAATTCAAATGGGGTCTTACTGGTTACAAAAAAATATAAATTCTTAAGGCATGACTGAAAAGGGTAACTCCATAATAAATTACTGTCAACCATAATTGATCAACTCCTCATCACGAGGCATATTCTCCGTACTGTTCTCTATACATTTCCTAAGGTGCTCATGAAGAGAATTTGTATATCAATCACAAATCTCTTTTAGTTGGTGATCATTTCCTTTATTCTTGTGATCTTAATGTTTGATTCAGGGGTGATATTGTAGGAGAAATTAGATGCTAGTCTCACTTAAGGGTTTAACCCTTTAACTCCCAGAAGTGACTAAAACGTAACTTCTCTCTATGATACCCATGGGTTTTCTGGGAAATGGTTAATGAGAATACTCAAACCTATCAGGAAGAAGTTTTTTATCTTGATCTTACACCAAATTCTCGTAACTAAGATACAAGGAATTGTGTAGCAGCAATAGGAGAGAATTAACAATCAGATCTTGGGAGTCAGTTAATATATCATAATGGAATTGAAGATTCTTATTTTTACCTGGCCCAAAATCCACTGTAGTAAACAGAGAAGGTAGTGATCCACATTCAAGCATTTTATCGTTAGCACCATCATTGGTAAACAGTATAACGTCTTTACCAAGATGTTGTTCAAACACTTCTTGAAGGTGAGACATATACTGGTGATCACAGGTGAAGTAGCTACCATATTCATTCTCTACCTGTGAAAAGATATCGAAATAGTATAACGTCTTTACCAAGATGTTGTTCAAACACTTCTTGAAGATGAGACATATACTGGTGATCACAGGTGAAGTAGCTACCATATTCATTCTCTACCTTTGAAAAGATATTGAAAACCATTGACCCTCCACACCCTAACATCTGCAGTATGCTCATTCTCTATACTGTTCCCTATACATTTCCTAAGGTGCTGAAAAGGAGAATTTGTTTAACAATCAAGAGCTGGTTAATAGCTGGTGATCATTTCCTCTACTCTCAAGACTTTTATGCTTGATTCAGTGATTTTGTAGGAGGAAATTAGATGCTAGTCATTTTTAGGGGTTTAAGGGTTAAAAGTGCACACAAAAAAAATTGCATGAGGTAAATTCTCGAGTGGCATTGATACTATACATGGATTGCATTGACAAACATTTTCTTTACGTTTCATATTTTATGTCCTTCAATCTGATAAATTTCATTCTGTTGTCATTCTACCACACAAGCACAGAAATTTGCTTGATACCGTGTACACTCAATAAAAACAGCACAATGGTCAGTGCACTGCATGGACTATAAAATGAGAGGTCCCAATTTGACTCTTTTCTTCGTCATAACATCGAGTTCTAAAGCAAATTAGCACAGGCTATACTGACAGTGCATATCTCTAACCAGAACTCTAAATGAGTACCTACCAACTGTCTAGGGGACCTTATAAAATTTTGAGAGGTAAACAGCAAATTGATAAAGGGGGTGACTTTCTAAAGAAACTGTGGTGCTTGGTCATTGAGAGAGGGTAACAGGGCAATTTGGTATGTTCAACTGAGTTGATAACATAAACTGGCCAACGTAAAGAGTTTCAAAGCTGATGTTTTCAGCGTTAACCCTACATCAGAGCAAATGATGAAGAGCTAATGTTCAAAATCTCAGCCTTGAAACTCTTTACAGCGGTCAATTTACTCTTAAATCAACTCAGTTGATCATACCATCAAATTGGATTGGTAAAATGTATACTATCCAAGGGGGTTGCATTGACATTGTTTGTCTCTTGCTACAGAAACCTGGATATGCTCTAGCCAGATAGGCCATTAGGTTTAAGTTTCCTTTGCAGCTGTTGTTTGGTCTTGTCACACAACACACTCACTACCCCACACAAGAGAGTATGTTGTGTGATGAGACCAAACAACCCCTGTGAAGGAGACTACCTATATGCTAAAATTTATAAGCTGTTGTTTTGTGATACTGATCATCAATGTCTGCAATTTGCCATCAGTGATAGGTGTTCCATCATCTTTAATTATGTAAGCTCTCAGAGCCCTATTGAATCTTAAAGCACATTTTACCATCTGTGAGTGGAGCTTGACTGAATGATTTAAAAATGCTGGGCCAGTTTTTGAACCTGGAGGCATTTAAATTGTTCTTAAGTAATTAGTTGCCTCAATGACCTAATCACTGCAAGAACGATTGTTGCAGAACTTAGAAAGGGCTCTGCACTGGCAGAACACTCTATAGACAGCAGCTGTCAAATTACATGGCTTAAATGGAGCCTGGTACCTGAACAGCAATGATTGGTCCCCATTAGCATACAAAAGTGGCTTTAACTTTGGAAGCAAGACACCCATCCAGCGATCCACTGCAGCAATATAACCTATCAGGAAATTACAAACAGATCTAGTCATGAGAGACTAAACGATTTTGATTTGGTGAATGAATTAACATTTTTATTCCCAAGATCTCATTAGTAATTCTCCTTACGACCATACCACTCTTATATCATTCAAGTTTGGAGAATTTGGTATTGGATCATACTATAATCCCCTAATTTATATTTTTCTTTAATCTCATTGCTTGTCTGCTTGGTATTGTATTGATATTGTAAGGAGAAATTCTGTCTCAGTCACTCAAGGTAGCAAAAGGGTAATAACACTAAGTTAGTGTTTTTTTTGTTTAAA